CCTACACTCCCCAGCATTCTTGCCCTCCGACCCTCCCTTGGAATTTGGGCATTCCAACACAAACACCCTATAGTCCTCCGCTATCTGATCACCGCGCACTTGACTTTGGCGCCCCCTCAATTGACAATTGAATGTTCTAGGATCATCCCCAGCCTTTCTGGCGATCCAATCCCCCCCCGCCTTATCCCTGATTACCAACTCGCCACTTCTTCACTGAATCTGGTCCATTGAAGCATGTCAACTGCATCCATCGTTTGAACGCCCCGGTCCGCGACCACGAACGGCTTTTTGGGAATGATACCCTCGAGTGTCGACACAGATATGGTCTCAATGAAGCCGAATATTGCCCCGTTAAAGATCGCCAAGTCGAATTTGAATATACCCAACGCTGAACCCGACGATACCGATACCGATACCCAGTGCACATCCGGTCGTTTCTACTTGAATCACGGCCAGTCTGAGATTACTCCGCCAATAACACCGCAAGGAATAAACATCAATATGGAACCATCAGAACCAACAGAAGCCCCGAGGGCTGTATTTCACAACTATCTCCGCGCATTCTACCCTTTCCACCCGGCTGGAAATGTTTCGCCATCGACCGTTACTCTTCCCTTAGATCAGGGAGATATCATTCTGGTTCACTCCGTTCACACCAATGGCTGGGCCGATGGTACCTTGTTAGATTCTGGACATCGAGGCTGGTTACCAACGAATTATTGCGAAGCATACGATCAATTGCCCATGCGTCCTTTGTTAAAGGCGCTGACAGACTTCTGGGACATTATACGAGGAGGATGTGGATCATCTTTAAAGGATTTTGGAAACCAAGATTTGATGCGAGGCCCCATTGCTGGCGTTCGATTCCTTCTGGTATGTCCAGATCAGGCTATGTCACCACCGACACAACTAACCCCCTGCAGGAGAAGGCAGAATGCTTAACAAGGGAAGCGCCTCTGGTTAAGAATTATGATGGACTACGGAGGATTCGGAAGGCACTGCTATCTGATCTGTCGTCGCTTGTGAAGACTGCTAAAAAGTTTCAAGAAGTCGCTAATGGCAGCCCTGCGGATGATGAGGTAGAGGCCATCTTGGATGAGATGCTTCTGAAGGCATTTAAAATTGTGACCCGTGGAGTGCGTTTTCTGGATGTGTGGAATGAGGAAGTGGGCTTGAGCCGGACAATTGCTGAGCTTGAATCTGCGGGCGATGGTTCGACCCAGTATGATATGCCTCCCACACCCGCGTCGGAGACCTTCACTGTCGAGAGTGGCCCTATGTCCGATACATGCACCGAACGGAACGAATCTCGACAGATGAGCCGCAGCCGGATGGGTGTCAGTCGTGCATCGGTACGCACAGAGATGCTAGATCATCCATCTCGACCCGTTTCCGTGGCCACCAAACGCATTTCAGTGTCTCATCGTGTGTCATACTCGGGCGCCTCGCCTGCTATTCGCTCCCAGAACCTCGCATCAGAGCGATTGGGAACAGCATACGATGCTTTTCTTGGCGTCCTTGGGTCTTTCATTGGCCTCCACATGCAGTCGCGATCATCCACAGAGTTGGTCGTGACCACCCAACAAGCCGTGCAATCCTGCCGGTCATTGTTGGATGTTGTGGAGGCTGTCTGCCAGCATGACAGCCAGCACAGTGTTTTACTCGAGGAGGCCCGTGAGTCGATGTGCGAGCGTTTAGCGGAGCTGGTTCAGGCCGCTCGCGACGTATTCCGCCCCGCCGCCTCGCAAGACGATGATTTGATCTTGATGCCAGACCAGGGCAAGCGTCTTGTGGATGCTGCGACTGACTGCGTGCGAGCTGCCGGAAACTGTCTGGCCAAGTCTCGCATGGTGCTAGAACAGATTGGAGACATTGAGCTTGAGCCCCTGAATGAGGAATTGGAACCCAGCGAAGACGCACCTGGTATTGTTACTTCACAGGACGACACTCCGAAAAACGAGAAATCGCAAGACCTTTCCTTGCGACTTCCCCCTCCCCCACTCACTATTCCAAACACAACTTACTCCTCTCCATCGACCCCTGCTCTCACTGATTCCACTACTCCCTCTTCATTCCAATCCCACCTTGCCTCCATCAATTCCGCAAACCCATCCTCTGCAATCCTCCCTCCCAACCTGGAAATGTCTTCCTTCTCTTCATACGACAGCAGTTACCGTGAAAGCCACCCCAAGTCCGACGTGAGTGAATCCTTCGGTCGCGGTGTGACAAGCATGGGTAGCAGCTTTACATACAATAGCCACACCCGTGACTCTGAGATGAGCGGTGTGTCACAGACCTCGACTCGCGCCACTTCCCCTGACATCAGTGGTAGCTTCCAAGGAAGCTTCCACGGGCCATCGCTGAAGGAGAGTTTGAGCCGCTCGACCTTGGCCGAGGAGAATGAAGAGACAGAAGCTCATCTCCTTGAGAAGACCTATGCGCATGAGCTGATCTACAAGGAGGGTCAGATTATGGGCGGTAGTCTTCGCGCTTTGATTGAGAAGCTTACCGCTCACCAATCCACCCCTGATGCCATGTTCGTCTCCACATTTTACCTCACATTCCGTCTCTTCGCTACCCCCCAGGAGTTTGCCGAAGCGCTTGCCGAGCGATTCGAATACATCGGAGATACCCCCCATGCGGCTGGCCCCGTTCGTTTGCGCGTTTACAACATCTTCAAGGGTTGGCTCGAGTCTCACTGGCGCCATGACCGTGACAACGATGCTTTGGAGTTCATTGTCGATTTCGCCAAGAACCGTCTGACAAATGACTTGCCTACTGCCGGCAAGCGTCTTCTCGACTTGGCGGATAAGGTATCTGCTGTTCATGGCCCCGTCGTTCCTCGTCTGGTGTCCTCCATGGGCAAGACCAACACATCCATTGCTCAATACGTCCATCCCGACACCCCTCTTCCCCCTCCCGTCCTTGGCAAGAAGGAGATCAACCTGCTGAAGCAGTGGAAGACTGGCGAGTCCTCGATTACCATCTTGGACTTTGACCCGTTAGAGTTGGCTCGGCAATTGACTATCAAGGAGTCTCGTATCTTCTGCTCTATTCTCCCCGAGGAACTTCTCGACACCGAATGGACCCGCAAGTCGGGATCGCTCGCAGTCAATGTTCGTGCCATGTCGACCTTGTCGACTGACCTCGCTCACTTGGTGGCTGACTCTATCCTCTATCTTGAGGAGCCCAAGAAACGGGCTGTCACCATTAAGCACTGGGTTAAGATTGCCAATAAGTGTCTGGAGCTTAACAACTACGACTCTCTCATGGCCATTATCTGCTCTTTGAACCTGTCGATGATTTCGCGGCTGAAGCGTACCTGGGACATTGTGTCTGCGAAGACCAAGGCCACCTTGGAGAACCTCCGCAGCATTGTCGATGTTTCCCGCAACTACGCTGTCCTCCGACAGCGTCTCCAGAACCACGTCCCACCGTGTCTGCCCTTCGTCGGAACCTACCTGACCGATCTCACCTTCGTCGATCACGGCAACCAGTCTCTCCGTAACCTGCCAACCGATGACGGTGAACGGGCCGTGATCAACTTCGACAAGCACATGAAGACAGCCCGGATAATCAGTGAACTTCAACGATTCCAGATCCCCTACCGTCTCACCGAAATCCCCGAGCTCCAAACCTGGATGCAGAATGAGCTTGTCCGCGTCCGCTCCAATGGCGAAACAACCGCTCAGACCTTCTATCGTCGCTCCCTTGTTGTCGAGCCCCGAGACCCATCCCGCAGTGGTCCCAATTTGACAATTCAATTACCACCTCAAACTCCATCTGCATCTCAACCCCAGACACCGTGCGAATCTCATCCTCCTTCCATACTTGAGAATGCTAAAGACAAGTTCGACTTGTTCTCCTGGACACATATGTCCAAGCCTAAGTCCGTTGAGACTCATGGCTAATATTCGTGATATTATACCCCTCTTCCTATCACTACTTCTTTCATGACCTGATGACCTGCACCCTCATTTGCGAGTTAATTGCTTGGTGTTTTATTCAATCTTCTACCTTACGACAGGCAGCATCTCTCGCTTTTCTTTCTCTTTCAATCTGTTACATGTTCTGTGAATATCCTTTTTATTTTTTTTTATTCGGGCGGCGCTCGTGTCTTTTTTTTCATGGTTCCCACGGGGACTGAACTGGACTGGCATCAGAAAAAGCGGCAACGGAAATGGAAATCGGGTCCAGGGAAAATTGGAGTATACCACAGGGCCTTTCATTTCATTTTGGTTGTTTCTTTTTTTTCTTTGGGGGATATCAAGGCAGGAAAAGGGTTACATTACTTATTATTCTTTGTTTAAGTTAATCCTTAGAAAGGATAGGCCTCACGGCTTTTGTACAATTGAAAGCTGGAATGCTATCATGCTTTTGAATTCTATCTGTTCCTATAATAACTGTAACTCTGACTTGTGATGTACGTCTGTAGTGTACAGTAGTTTACTAATTGACTTGCTTGGTTTCACCATAAAGGCTACTTATCCCAAGCACCGCGTAAAGGTGCAAGTCCTGCTTGGGTGTCGTACACAGGGCCCGTACGACTAGGCAAAACAAAAAATGATACAATCAAGAACCAGATCATGCCAAACAAGTTCCAGCCAATTATGAAAAAAAATTAGAGTACAGTAGATGTTTTGACTCTCCTTCATCCCATCCACGGGTCATGGCCCACCGCGAACGGCAGCCGTGAACGAAACTCGGGGTTGTTGTTTTGTTGTTGCGCACTCTATCTTCTTTTCGTTTCACTTGACTTCATCCCCGATGGTACATGAAGCTTGAACTTGAATTTTGACAGATGCAACAGATGTAAATGCAAATATGGGTATCAATCTTGTCATCAGTCATCAGTCACATGGTATAGTCAGTCTCATATATGATATCAGTCACTGTACAATCACTTTCACTTCACAATGTTGTCAATCTGTCTTCAACGTCCCCTCAGTCTCTCGTCATCTCTTTTTTTGTGCTTTGTGGTGTTTTCGGGTTTTCGAGAATCACTTTTTTCGGGGCTTGATCAGCCCGTACGCCATCTTTTTTTGTTGTTTTTGCTTTTTGTTCAACTCCTTTTGCTTCTTCTCCATCTCCTTCTTCTCCATCTCCTTCTTCGCTTTTTTGGCTGCCTTCGCCGCCGCCTTCGTATCCAGTACTTCAATGGGCGGAACCAACATGAAGTGGGCTTTCGCCTCTTGTGGTGGCTGGTACGCGCGCGCGACTCCATGCGCCGGAGTGGAACACTCATCACTTTCCTCTTCCTCAATGATAGATGCCAGTCTTGGGATGGTTGTTGTATCCCATAGACAGAAGGGCAGAGACCAAGTCAGGAGACCTTGAATTTGGTCGTAGAACCCGTCTTCAGTAAACTGTTGGACATCGGTGTATTGCACCTCCAATTGGTTTCCATCAAAGCAACCATATAATACACGGGCTTGGGCTCCGTGGTAGATGGAGACCATGAGAGTCTTTTGTTGTCAATCTGATTTGCAGGTGAATGAGGTTGGACGTCACTTACTGGGAAGAAGTGATGGAACTCGATCAGTTCAGCACGGTAACGGGGATTCCGCATAGCCTTTGCTCCATCGTACATCGCATCTCGAAGGAAGATGACCATGGTTTCCAGCTCATTGACACTTGGCTGGAGTTGGTCGGCCAGTTCATTGGCTTCCAGAGTAATGATCCGGTGGCTGCTTCTGTCGTCGACAGTCTGATCCATCCGACGAACTTTGCCAGGAAGGAAAGCAAGCCGCTTGGTAGTCTTCTCACAAGGACTGTAGAAAGCATGTTAGGTCACCAGTCATTGAATGAAAGGGTGTAGAGCTTACGTGAATGTCTCATACATCGACGACGGACGCTCTCCATCAATCCGAGCAGTTTTGCGTTGCTTGGCGAACTCAGCGGCCAGTGCTGTTCCAAGCAACTGATCGCACTTGCTCTGAGCCATACCCGGAGATGAGCGAATCTCATCATGAGCCTTGAAGAATTGGCCGGTCCGCAGACCAGTGAATAAACACGGGTTCAGCTCAACCTCGGGCTCGGGCTGGAACCATGGTGTGCCAGGCGAAGAAGGAGTAGCACCAGTAAGGTAGTCGAGATGAACTAATTGCATTTTACATTGGTGTTTGAGGGTCTCAGTAAGACCGTCTGTGGAGTTGCGTAGATAGAAGTTGATCTTGTCTAATGATTCTTGTCGTTGTTTGTAGGACCAGACCCATTGGGGCTCTTGCTTCTTGCGAAGTGAACCCCAATGAGCACACTGGGAAGACCGAGGCGACATTTGATAGATATAATCTTCACGGGCATGGATGGAGGAAGGAAAAGAAAAAAAGCTGGGAGAAAACCAGGGGGGTCTTATATAGTCATGCCCTTGCAAAATACCGTTTATACTAATCCATGGATCTAGACAGGCCCGTCGACAGTAAAGGAAATGTTAATATTGTTCAAGATCAAGTTGCAAGAGGTTCCATGGTTGGCGAAATCCGGGGTAACCGATTCATACTAGTCGCGAGCCCCGATATCAAGAACGAAAATCGAGCTTCCCACAGGGGGAAGCGGATGATGTCTTCAATACGCTGGAAGTTAGATATGACTCTTTTCCATTCATATTTCAGGTATTTTACACTGCGACATTTGTATGATATCTGTAATAATGGCCAAATGATGCAATGCTCACGCTATGCCGTCGCTCAATTTGGAAAATTTGACACCAAGCGGAAGTCCGACAGGACTCGGCCTTAAAATTGTAGAGAGAGTATGTGTACGTAGCACGAATTATGGAGCATATTTATGGAGAATACATATTCAGGCAGATGAGACTCGGAAGGCTGAAGTTAATGGGGATGATGATGGTTGTCACTGGGAGCTTAGTGTAGAGCAGGAGGTGACTAGTAGAGCCAGCAGCCTCTGAGCATCATTTCATCCAAGAAACACCATGAATATTCATTTTCATTCGTTTAGATTTATCTTGTATTGATTTAGGCTCTTCCACTTGAGATCTATGAGGTCCGCGGAGTGTCCGGGGACCCGAATGAAGTGGGTCCGGGGCTCTCTTACTTAAAGGCAGTAGCGGCCCCAAAACGACCACCATCTCAGCTTCATCCGAAATTATTAAAAGCCTTTCCTTGCCTCTTCTTGCCATTTCTCCGTCAGTATGTCCACTGACGCCTTACAAGAGACCAACAACAAGACCCTTGGGACTGCCGCTGGAACCTTCCCAGTCATCACTCTGCCAGACGGTCGAAAGGTGCCCACTGGAACAGTTGGAGCCTTGCTGGTCAACATCAAGGCCTACGACGAAGGCGATGAGACTATAAAAGCTGAGCTTGAGCCAGCTATACAATCGGCGATCCCAACTTTACACAAAGTGGGCATGTTTGACCTCTTCGCTCCTGAGGAATGGACATCAAGTCGCAGCCTCGGCCGCAGCCTTGTGGGCCGACTAGCGCATGACTACATCAGGTACGGCATCCAAAAATTCATGAACTGCCAGCCTTTATCTTTTGTTTCATTGTATTGATAGTCTAATCTACTCTGAGTAGGGAGCTTTACGCGCTGGAGAACCCAGGAACCTCCGAGCAGTGATCAAAGGCAGAGAGCCGATTTATAGCCATGTTGTACATTAGACACTACTCTAGACCTCAACTACATTGTTGAAAGGCAAAAGAAGAGCCACGGATCATCTTTCTCTTGCTGTTATACGCCCTTCTAGTCCAACCGCATCATCTTGACTCTGACTCATCATGCCCGAACTGGGACATTGCTGTTCACACTTTTGGACTTTCATTCTGAATCGGGCATAGTAGCTAGACTCTCACACGTCACCCCAGAATACAAATATAAAAAATTTGCAAAAAATGCGCTATGTATACCTGCCCTTTGACTAGGCATTGCTCCCAGGCCGATGATCTTCATACCGCCGAGCCAGTTTCACTATCCCGTTAAAGCGCAAACTCGCTACGGAGCTTGTAAAGATTATGTGCTGTTTCACATTCTTAGAGATGTTTGGTGCTGTTCTAGTAACGTAGATCTCAGATACAAAAGTCTCGAACACCCAAATTAGATAGAGTCTCTCGAATGTGGGCTGGCCTATCCAGACCAGTCAGACAGACGTAGAACAAGACTTGCATAACAAGGTTGAATACTGTGTTAGAAAAACATATAAATTCTATTGGTGGAATTGACTTCCACGAAGCATGAGCCATACTTGACTGATTGTTCCCTGTAGCTGAACTGATATCCATATTGTGATGAGTATGTCCCTGTCTCTGGAAAGAGTCATACCCTACCCCCCTCTACCTCGATTTCCCCGGACTTCCTATCCCTACCACCAGCTGCATAAGCCCCAACAAACAAAGTTACACAGCCCTCTTATCATCAAAACCATCGCATTGACATTCAACTTAATCAAATGTAACAAGGCAAACCTTTCAAATGAGGGGTTAAGTGATGTATCCCGTTTCATATCAAAAGAATAGAACAGGCCTTGCATATTACCCCTCCATCATTTGCCTAATATGGTATCAAGTCCATGCCACGTCAGTTCAGATCGGACCCCCACGAGCCTTATGCAATGCAAGGGATACGTCAACTCGTAAGTTTGGGACGCTGTACAAAAAAAACCCGTGACTACATCTTACGGGTGGATCTGCATATAGAATGAGACTAATCTAGAACTATTCAAATCCTGCATATTTTCTGCAGAATAATGCTATGCATTGCTGATCTGGTTCATGCTGGCTCCTGCTTGTATGACCTTAGATGGTAGTGGCTAGCTGAGGGCTTGGGACAACGTCATTCCTACCAGGTGCTGTTTCGAGTTCTTTACTTGTATTCAGCTTTACGTCCAGAGAGATGGTATGGTTTTGTATTGGCTTTGGCCTTTTGTAGAGGTGAGGGGTGGTATTTGACGTTGTGGATGTGATATATCAACTAGGGTTGAGATGGCTTAAGCCACCCGCCAAGACCTTTCGGCTAAAGTTGGATTTGCACATCGTCAAACTGAACTCGAGTTTGACCTTGATTGCCTAAATGTATGAATCAGAATGTAAATAAAGTCGGCCGAATCCAGCTTACGCACAAGTATTGCTTTCTCCCTTTCGGCCTCACATCACTAAGAAGCTGCTATAATGAGTTATTTGATAGATGCCAAAGTAAGATTACCTTCTTAGGTTACTGGAAGTTACCTGACAGGCCGAGCGTATTAAGGAGTGCCGTCCGGCATTTTTATCTAGGTAATGGAAAGCGTATAAGTCTGCACTCGGTATCAGAGGCCTTGAAAGTGGCAAACAGTCAAAACCAAGCCCTCAATGACATCGATGTTATTTCTGGAAGAACTCCAAGAATGAATATACATATTCTGAAGAAAGATATAGGAACGAGAGACAAATTTGATAATCGGTACAAATGAAGAGCCCATGCCTAACCACACCTATACAAGTGCTCCTGCTTCCTTCTTCGCTCCTCCTTCGTTCTTCGAACCGGTGTTCACTTTGCTTTGTGGACTGTGATCCACAGGGCTATGATTCACTCGATCTTGCATAATCCGGGCAAAGTCGCCTGATCTGTTGGTTGCCACATTTTCTTTTGCTGTTTGGTGTTTGTCAAGGGCCACCTCTATATATATATTCATTTATCGGAACCCATCAGTAATTATGGAATACGAGGCTATCACTCCCGAGACGTCAATATGACTCATTCCCTTTAAAGTCAGAGATATCCACAGAAATAAATGGATTTCCACCACTATTGTAAAAGAACCACTCCTGTTAACGAAGATTGACTACGAAAGCACCGCAGGCTTGGAATCTATATCCATATAGCGGATTGATTATTCTATATCATATCTTCACTTCTCCAAAGGTTGGCTGGAAGGAGCTCGGGATGTGGTTTAAATCCCTTTCAAAAAGGAACAAAACTATTCTTTCGGCCGATGATACATCATCTCCCACCAAGGAAGTTGCAAGCGTTGCCAGAGCCAGTCAGCTCAATTCCCAGAGAGCTGTGGGCAATCGGCCCCCGGAAAACACTACAAGCGTTTCTCTTGCCGAAACTACTGGACTCGATTCACCTCAATCGAAAGAAGTGTCCAATGCTATCCTTCCAGCGGCACAAAAGGTGGATAGCCTGATCCGGAGGTTAGGTGGAACAGCGACGCAACATATAGGCCTCATAAGATATGGTGATCTTCAAATGTTTGTCGAGGAGCTCCAATATGGGGTCAGCAGCATAAATATAAGATATTCGGCTTTAAGACCCCCTAAAGAGCACGATAGGTCTGCTCAAACGACAAGCGAGGATATCGAAAACCGTCTCATCCAAGTCATAGCCAACACGAGATATATACCCTTCTTCTGGAAAGATAAGCACATGAGCGATAAAGTACCCCAAGAAGAGGAGATTTTGGAAGTACTCTATCGAGCAAAGTCTATTATTGCGGAGACAAAATGTTGTACGGAGTCGCTCCCGTTTTCTAGAGAACACAGTAAAAATGGGGAAGGCCAAGCGACAGCAGGCACTACGAGTTGATCTGAACGTCCTGGCAAGCTGGTCCAGCAGTCTCGTTATGCACTTAGATACAATATCGGCTGGATTTGAGGCCACAACATAGCACTGGAACTCTCAATTGGCAGAGTATCAAAGCTTGAAAGAGGAGACCAATCACTCAATGGACATATTTCGCTTGGAACGCCTCTATAAAATTCATGCCTGAGTCATCGTAATCATCACAATCAGCAGTCATGCCTCCAGCAAAAGAGTCAGCCTTGTATTCTGGCCGTGGACGAAGATCGAGAATGGGTATCATGGACGGTCGTCCATGGGCGCACTGAAATGGGAATGCACATCGAGCCAGCCTCGAAATCAATGTCCTGCAATCATCGATGCTCAATGGGTCGTTGAACATGATGGCACTGCGACATGCACGGGAGTTAAGAAGATCAAAGATGCCAGTGGGGCAGCCCTTCATCCTTTGTACCCAAGAATGCGGCATAGACTTTCCCATGGGAAAAAATCCATTCCCGTCGAATATCATGCCGTACCTCTCGGTGTGGTTATCTCCAGAAGCCATCGCCGGGCCCAGTGGTTTCCTACCAACTTCCTCGTTTGTCCAAATCTCGCGGCGAAGCAACTCAATAATCAAAGTAGGTTCCAATCGGCATCTCTCTGCAATGAGGGCCGGTACTAAATGAACCAAGACAGTGAACTCGGACGCTGAGGTTTCACCCATGTTATAATGAATCCCCCAGTCTTGAAAGAAGCTAGAATACTTGTGAAAAAGCGTAGCTTCAGTAGATGAGATTTTGAAGACAATTGGGTTGATTTCAACAGTGCGAACTTTAGTCTCATACGGCGACTCTGTTGGAATGAACATTTCTTCGAACAACTGTTCGATTCGGCAACGTTCATCTGCTGCATGTTGGTCGATCAGTACTAAGACTGCCTCCTGTATACCAGCACTCTGCGAAGGTGCTGCGCCAAGTTTGGCAAGAATGTACTTTTGATCGACTTGTGCGATGATGGTGGCGCTTGATAGGCTTTGACGCTGCAGCTTTCCTCTGAATTTGGCAACACCAGCAGCCTCTAGAGTCCCAATATCATGAGGACAACTGCGAGATGAACCATCGGGATTGCAAAAATCAGCTTCAAGATCATAACTTGGTAAAGGCATTTCCGTGCGGGTAAACGTAGGGTTGTCCCATGCTTTCAGTAGGTTTTCTATCCAGACTTTCGGGCTTGATGAGTTTGCTTTAGTGCTTCCTAGTAGAGTAGGTCTTGTGAAACGACTAGCCACCGTTGACCCAACTGTCTGACCCGTTCGGGAATTGATCATATGTGTTTTCCCGGTGCGCTGATCAATCCAAGGGATTAGCCTGTCCGTCGTCTGGATTTCATCTTCACTTTCTGGACTGGCTTCTTTGCTGCGTTTTTGGGAAACATTCAGCAACATATCTGTAGCATTTTCCTCTCGCAATGAGCGGCTTTGAGGATGTTCAGGCAGAGACAGAAGCTGTCCATGAAGCCGATTGGAAGTATCTTGGCTGGGTAGAGCATGAGTATCAAGTCCTTTTGCAGTCTTTACTCTGGTCCAATTATTCAAATTCTGAGAAGTATTGACCCTCTGTGGTCGCTGGAATGACGGAAGCTTGAGATTATCGCTGAAACCTTCTTTCGTGCTTGATCCCGCACATCGTTGCTTGGAGGACGACCGTGCACGACTTGGACCAACAGAAGGGCCCTCTTGGGTTTGATCTGATATTCTCCCTTGTCGCTTGGTGATACGGGGTCGCATGTTCTGTTGCTTGAGAAATTCCAAGATCATTGCCTCGAGGAGGTCAGTGACACGTTGAAAGGACTTGTCTGAGCTCGGGGGGACCTCGTCCCCATCATCACCCAATGGTAGATTTGCACTAGTGTCGATACGTATATAAAACATTGGCCACTTATTGACTGGCTTTGCCCAGGTTTTGCCACTGATACTGCTTGGGGCTTCAGAGTTGCCCAGGACAGGGGATGGGCACGTCGCAGTGGTGCTGCGAGATATGTTTCCAGAGCTTCCAAAATCGGATAGAGATATTAAACGATTTATCTCGCTGTAGAGAAGATTTGCACCATTTGAGAGGACCGGATCATTGCCCAGAGAAATGAACTGGAGCCTTTTCGAAGGACTGGGCACAATGGATATTGCGGCACAGATTGTGAGATCGGGAACCTTGGCCGATATGACATGCCATGAATCCATGTTTCTGGAATTTATCATTCCCGATTGCGCGAGAATTGATCCAATGCGACTTAGATCGATTGTGTTGCCGAAATCGGCATGTCCATCCTGTATATATCTGTTCAGACGAATCGAGACTCTTTTAGCTCGTTCTGCATCAGAAAGAATTAACTTCGAGAGCAGAGGGTTTGCCAGCATAAGAGAAGCCAGCGAGTATCTCAGGTTATCCCATTCTCGATCTAACTCATCTGGTCGTTCAAGGACAAGGGCTCGACGCTTGACGCGCACCGGCATGTTGCCAAAAAGGTCATTTACCGTCACACATGTGCCATGTCCACTAAAACGAAGATTTTGGTGCGCAGGTGCGGGAATCAAACGCGCCAAGGGCGTTGAACGATGAAATATGACAGAGTTTGTAGTCTGCTGGTGGATATGACAAGATGTCACGGTAAGCAAGGACAATGCACTAAGAGCGGATAGAAAAAGCCCCCGATGGCCATATTTGCCAGTCTTCTGGAACTGAGAAGTGTCTGTCCTGAATTAGCGATTTGTCGGCGATCCATATAGAGAGACATACGGTGTGCCTTCCCGAGCCCCCCGGTTGACTCGAATTCGACGGAACGAATTCCATCGCCGTCATCTTCGATAATACACCCTCCGCGCTTGAAGTCCACTGAGATGTGGACCGTGCTGGCATTTGCATCCAGTGCATTTTTAACCAATTCCAAAATGACTCCGTTCAGATGAGTGATCGAGGTGGAGGATTTGATCTTGGCAGCAACATCTGGAGGGAGTACTTGAATTCTTGTTCCTGATGATGCCATGATAGGAGCATTCGCATGCTCAAATGTTGTGTAGATCGTTCAAAAGAACTATGTTTTCCATAGCAACGACGGCTGAGATGCAATGATGCAAGAACTTTGCCACTTTATCATGATTGTCACATTGTCCAGGTAAAATGGTAAATTGGAGAAACCGCAGGTTCTCAAGAACCGAAGCTGAAAGCCAGAGAGTCGATCTATTTTTGAAAACAAAGTTGAAGAATTCCAGACCACAATGACATCAAGGGGCACATGACCTGCAAGGATTACCGTGCACGGATAAACAGTCAATCCGCATTGCTCCCATCTGCCTCGGCGCGAACTCCTTTGAAGCTTCACTGTTGCCCCTGCTAAGTTGTCAACACCTAGGAAAGGGTTGATTCTGGCGTGTTATTCTGATTGCAACATGGCTACAGCTGAAGGGCCCTCACGGGCGCACGGTAATCACTCAGGAGAACATCTGGCCTTTGTGAAACACACTAATGACGTGGTATACAATAGATCGCAACGGTCGCCGCCGCCCATTCTCCAGTTGGATGAAGCGCCTCGCAAGCCTCAAAGGCTCCTCCGAATCCGGTTCAAATCGCTGGTCCAACAAACGCTACGGTTCCACCAAGGGAAAGAAAACCCAAGTCAACAACAACCCTTATCCACTATCTGGGATCAACCGGCAATCAAATACAAATGGTTCATATGAAGACAGTGAGCGCAACTGCAGAGAGTCTCACTCTCGAAGCGATCCGTCTTTGGTTTATTCGGGCTATGAGAACCATGTTCCTGGGACGGGCGCGAAGTCAACAGCCCCCACCATATCAACAATCGGGGACACCGCAATTTCAGAGGCAGCCTATTCCAAGGCGGGCACAATGGCGACAATGGGTGGAGGCATTAGTACAAACGGAGGAGGCGAGGGCAGCACATTCTCCTCCCCGAGCCCGTCAGTTCGGTCGTTGACCACCACCTTGACAACGGTTCAGTCGGCAGCCCCTTCGACACAGTTATACCCTGCGCAGAATGCACCGAATGGCCAGGCAAATGGACACTCGACGCAAAGTTCTGTAAGCCAGCAGGTTCAATTTTCTCACCAATTCCCAACTTCGTCGTCCTCCCCCGCTACGGCTGTGCCCCCACATCTCATACCCCACAGTCAATCCATGACATACTCTACGGCAACAGCGAATAATGTCTTGACCGACAACGCATCGATCCTTACTCTGGCCAGCTCTTCGAAACGCCGACGCAGGAACTCCCTCGATACCAATGCCTCAGTGCGTGCTCTGGCGCCGTCGTCGGTGTTCGGTGGAAGTCGCGAGAGTCTGCCACTGAGTGTGCTAAGTGGGAACGTGGTCGAGCCATCCAATGCATCTGTTCTCAACGCCCAGGGTGTTTTGAGTCGTCCCAGCATCGTCGGACTTGCCAATGCCGAACGCATTAGTGTCTACTCGTCCTCTGGTGTCATACCTATTGCTAACACTGCGGGCGAACGAGGAAGCCTCTACACGAAGCCAACCGCGACCGCAGGTGATGGGGCCAGTATCCGCAGCGCTGCGCCCTCGCATGGTCGCAACGATAGCACAGCTGCCAGCATTACCGGAGTGGGCAGCCCGCTTGCCATGGCATCTGGCCGGGTCAGTCGCAGAAGCTCCGGGTGGGGAGAAATCACCGGTGAAGAATCACCAGAAGAGAGACAATCTAGCGACCGGAACGACGAGAAACAAACGTCAAAGGCCGACGTAAGCTTTCAAGAAGAGCCTAAAGAATAATCTTGATTTGATGAGGTGAAACCACAGACCTCAATGATTTTACGCAAATGCGGCGAAGCGACGGACCTACTCAGGTCCTCTTTATTTGTTTTTCTTTTTCTCCTACACTAATGAAATGACGCATGGAAATTGGATTGGATACGGGGGTATTTGCGGGCTGAATTTGTGGTGTTTGTGCTGGCGTTTTCCTTTGGGTCGGACTTGATATCCTTGCAGTATGCCTTTGCTTTTGTGTATTGATTTGCAAATTGAATCGTGTATTCAGAAACCCAAGACATAATCTTCTTCTGCAACTTTCCATTCCCAATGCCATCTAACTCACTGAGCTGCAGCACGACGCCGAATAATCATCGGCATATCATACTGATACACGAACCAAGCATCCCGATACTTCCACTCGTGCTGAGGATCAACAAGTTGAATCTAGAACAGGTTAGCTCGACGAAGGCCAGCAAACAAAATGAATCACTCACATCAAACAAGCTGTAAAGCGTTGCAATTAACTTCTTAATCTCCAACATAGCCAGATATCTCCCCATACAAATTCTCCCACCACCCCCAAATACAAAATCAACTGTATCCTTCATCCGCCGCAACCTCACATCAAAAGCCTCCTCACTCTCATTCTTCTCCCGAAGCCAGCGATCAGGAATAAAGGTATCGGCATCATCGCCAAAAACACCATAGTCCCGACCCGTAACAAACGGATTAGATCCCACCTTCGTTCCAGCAGGAAGATACCGTCCATCCGGAAGCGTGAAACCACCCTCAGGGACGACACGCTCGAATATCATAGCGATACCAGGATTAACACGCATAGCCTCCCGGATCACGGCATCCAGATAGGGTAGGTCCCGTATCAGCGCCCAAGGTGCTGGAGTGGGGAGCGAAGCTGCCTCCAGCTCGGATGATAGTTTTGCGGCTGCTGCTGGCGCTTTTGCGAGGTAATATAATACTGCGCGCATTGTTGCGGAACTAGTATCACCACCTGCCAGGATACTGAGCATGAGCCAGTTGACAATCTGTTGATCGTTCACTAGGTCAGGGTTTGATTGTTTTAGAGCCACATATTTGTCTAGTGTGTGCGATACGCCTGCTGAGCCGGCGGTGGTCTTTTCGGTGGCTAGTTGAGCTTGGTATTCTGCTGCGACTTTGAAAGCGTACAAGACGCCCGTTAGAGTTGGTTTGGGGCCAATTCGTTTTATGGGATTTTTGTCGAGGAGATTATCTATCCAGGGGATCTGGGAGACCTGCTTTTGGGTTAGTCGAGCTTGTGTGTTGGATTGGAGGGACATTTACTGGGGCGAAGTAGATCAAACCAGCAGTTGAGTCGGTGATTAGATTGTCGACGTCTTTTTCTTGGTCGATGAAACCATAGTGACGGCCAAAGCTGAAGTTTGCCGTGACATCCCAAGCGACTAGTTTATTAGTGAAGTTTTCAGGATTCAAGTTGCTGTGGGGTTGACTTACAAAATCCAATCCATTCATCTGCTGGACAGACCTTGCCAGCATTTGCTCCATCGACGAATCTTAGCGCAAGCTTGTCCACAAACTTGGTAAGAGTCTCATCGATCAGGGGTTCGTATTCCAGAACCTTGGTCATACTCCAGAGTCCGCGAATAGGTCGGATGTTCTGATCATGCCACTCTTCATCCTGGGAGTTGAAGAGGTTGGACAAACGATGACCTTCGATAAGCACATCATTTGGCCTATACATATCACTCTTAATTCGCGATTGATTGTCAGGAACGAATGTCACTATTAAGCAAATATAATGCGTCATACCTTCTTCCATGCATTACGAGTCGAGTAGATAGTGCGGATCAAATTCGGGTCCGAAATGCTCACGCAATTGGGTCCAATCTGCACCGCAGTTCCATACTTGCGATGCAAGTCAAGATGCTTGAGATCGACACGCCCCCGGTAGGTATGAACAGCACGCCAGAGATCTGTAGTCTTTGCAAGGATTGGACCGGGTATAGCCTTCAATGGGGAGAGAAAATAATCCCAAATCAGCTTTGTGAGACACAAAAGTCCCAGAGCGATAAGGCCCTGGGCCCACAAGCCAAGAGAAAGCGTCGATAACACAGCCATTGTAGCCAATACAGCCCAGGACAGACCAAAGTACGTAAGAGGAGTCAGATATTGAATGAAACGACGTCGCATTCACAGCAAAGAAGCTGTCATGTCAGGAGAATGCGGAGAAACATGGTCAACGATGACCATTTTAGAGAACCTATGAGGGACGCTAGTAGAGTTCAAAAACGAAACAACATGATAATTGACTCCAGAAGACGGGAAAACGAGGCCAATGCGAACGGTCCTAGCTCCAAGCTAGTTTTGGGCTTATTGTCTTCCGCCAGGCGGAGTTGAATAAATACCCAAATTGGGCTTTTTAGAACGGGGAACGGCGGGATGTGGAGACCAATGGTAACCCTGTGGCGCTGACTGGCCGGACAAGGCAACCGCTATCAAGTCATATAGATGAATCTAGACTTTTGACAGCGGCACTGGCCAAATATCGTTTAGCGTCGATTATTTCCAATTGCGAAAATCTGGCTTGAAGAAACGCCAAGGACTTTGTCGTCGCGTATAGAGACCAAATGAAAAGCCACGCACAGACGCCGCTCAGGCAATGCAACGGTGATCTGCTTTGTTTTCGAACATGTCGCTTGATCCTTTCGTATTTCTTGTTTCGTGATCTACACGTCGCTTGCAGGTTTAATGGTATTTTGGTGGGAGAAGGCCTTGCATAGGGATTTGTGGGAGAAATATGATAGATCTCATTTTGGTGCAGAGGCCTGCTTATACGACGAGGATCCACTTGTTATGAATGACCCATCCGAACCACCAAATGCTCCTGTCATATTTCCTGATTCCGTTAGTCTGATTGGGCTTAGAGTAACGTTATTGACAATGCTTAAATGTTTGGGGTTTCCCCGGACAAGTCTTTCTACTAGGCCGCCCATGTTGCGGGTGAAACCTTGTCATTTACATTTGAATTTGTGAGATTCTACATTATGACTTCTCAGCAGGCGGCCTACATGGAACAGAGCAGGGCGCCTTTGGTGCAGGGTGTTATGTGGACGATGTCGATAGTTCCCCTGTTTTTTGTTTGTGGTCGTTTATATGTGCGAGTATGCTTGAAGCGGGTTTTTGGCTGGGATGATTTCATCATTATTGTTGCCATTGTGAGTAATTTTCCTTTCACTTTGAACTTCATCCACTTCAACGGAATACTCAAATCTCTCTCCAGTGTCTCCTTATCGCATACGCCGCTGTATGTCATGCCGCTACACAAGTGGGTCTTGGAAGCCATCTGATTGTTGTGGAAGAAAACCCGAACAATCTTATATCTGTGGCCTTGCTATGTGACATAGGCGAAGTTTTGGCAATCATGGCGTGTACATTGGGGAAAACATCATTTGCAGTGACACTCATGCGAATTGTGGTGAAGAGATGGATGGTGGTATTACTATGGTTTGTGATTATCACTATGAATCTGGTCAACATCTTGACTGCATTCTTTGTGTTTTTGCAATGCAAAGACCCTCGGCATCTGTGGAATCCTACAATTCCTTCCAAGTGCTGGCCTGCGGATGTTTTTACTAACTATTCGCTTTTTGTGGGAGGTGAGTTGACAAGTCCCACTCTGCTTTCTACCTTCTTTTACTGACTCAAAATAGCATACTCTGGTGCTCAAGACTTTGTCCTAGCTCTTCTCCCTTGGACAATTGTCTGGAATTTGCAAATGAAGAAAAAGGAGAAGTTTGGCGTGGCATTCGCCATGAGTCTAGGTGTATTGTAAGCATCCATGGGCCCGCCTGGACCAACCTCTCGCTAACTCGATTCACTAGTGCCGGTGCAGCTGCCATCGTCAAAACAACCTACCTTGTCGCGCTTTCAGCCAAAGCTGACTTTACATGTAAGTTTTTCAAAGGTTTCCAAGTATTGCATGAAATAACATCGCTAACCCTTGTATTCGTAGGGGAACTCGCCCCATTACTCTATTGGGCTGCCGTCGAAGATGGCCTAGCCATCACAGCCGCCTCAATTCCAGCACTAAAACCTCTATTAGTGCGCATGTTTCCAAGCTCACCAGGTGACAGCTATAACATGATCTCCTACCCGCCAAAACCGCGTGGGAGGAATGTTTTTGATCCTTCCCAGGGAGAGACGCAGACGGATATTAGGCAGGGTAGTCTTCGTGATATGGGGAGTCAGACTGCTATTATTGAGCCTCAGACGCCTGGGAAAGAGAATGAAAATATCAATCTTAGGACGGAGGTTTCTGTTAGGTATACTCGGTCTCCATGAGTGAGGGTGGCTCAACCGTGGTGGTTATACCGCCATGATCTATTCTAATTGAGAAGTGTTTCAGCCTTGAAATATTCGTAAATTTTAGTTTATGAACACTCAGTGAGCATGACCTAGATCATTCGCTGACTCGTCTCACTCATTGTTCAGAGGCATCTACTTAGCACCCAGTCTAGTTCGTGCTCATTACCGAAGTATTGCCCCTCTCAAACGCACTGGTTAAGTTCCCAGGTATTTTTTAAGGGCCATTCGTTACTGCAGGGTCAGCTTTCATTTCTCCAACACATTCGAAATTAGAAACAAAATTTGAACTGTAAACTGTGGGAGGAAACATTAGTTCTACATTTCGGAGATGATGGTGGGACTCGGAGATCTCAGCCCCTCTCCATTATGTCGAGTACCTGACCCGGAGACGTTCGTTCCGAGGCGGTAGCCTCGAACATCTATAAAGTAGAAGCCATAACTGAAGAACGATTATTTCTAGCCTATTGCAGAGGTAGGAAGAATTTCAGGCTGTCTGAGTTGGCGCAATAAATCCATCAAAGGTTGCATTCTCCAATCGGAGCTTATTCAAGATCCGAGTTGTAAAGCCGAGTTGCCGTCTGAGCCACATGACGTGTGTAGTAGTCTGTATGAGACTATTTAAAGGAGGAGTCGAAGCCGCAAAAACCTAAATCTTCATCTCAATCAACAGTATTCAATCCCGATTCTTCAAAAACTCGCAGTTTCAGCAAAAGATCAATTACCCAAATCTCACCATGTCCCTCGACCAAGTCAACCAGGGGAAAGCCGTTGACTCCTATGTCAAGAAGCATCTCCTCCATGAGGACAAAGGCTTGGAAAATGCCTATGCAAACAGCGCAAAGCAAGGTCTTCCGATGATTGCAGTCTCGGAGATGCAAGGAAAATTCGCCTCAATGCTCACAACCATCGGATCAGCACGCAACGTCCTTGAGATTGGCACTTTAGGGGGGTTCTCTACCATCTGGTTCGCACGAGCCATGAAAGGACGTGGAAAAGTAACCAGCATCGAAGTAATACCGCACCACCGTGATGTCGCAATTGATAACTTGCGGGCTGCGGGGGTCCAAGTCCCCGAAGAGGTCGACATCCTCCTCGGAGCAGCACTGAATATTCTGCCAAAGCTCGCAGAGGAGATTGAGAAAGGAGCAAGAGAGCCCTTTGACTTTGTTTTCATCGACGCTGACTGGGATAACCAGTGGAGTTATTTTGACTTCGGAGTCAAGTTGTCCAAGGGTAAAGGTGCTGTTATTTACGTTGACAATGCGGTGCGCAATATGTTGGAGAGTGGCATTGTTGGAGATGCTGAACGTGACGAAAAAGCTGTTGATGTTGTGGCTAATGTTGGGGCGGATGACCGCGTCGATGCTGTTGTTATGCAAACAGTGGGATCGAAGAACCACGATGGGTTCCTGCTTGCTGTTGTGAAATAGAAAAAAACCTCATTATTTTAGTGCCCTGCAGTAGTTTGTCAAATCTTGGACGTCTTCTCGGACGTAAAATTCGAGTTGAGATGTGTTGGAAAAAGAAATCAATCAAATTCATTACTCGATCAATCCTGAAGGTAGTGGAACGGTGGGTTGAGACGTACATTACGAGTGGAAGATCGAGTCACCTTGTCCATTTTTGAGGGCATAAATGGACATTGTGTGATATTCAGGTAATTAGTCAGAGATAATAATCATGTTCATTGCCTTCGAGGTCAAATGATTGGTTGGAGATGTGCCTAAAGTAGGTACGTTTAGACTTAATCATCCCAGTCGCCGTGCGGACACCGAATACGGAAAATTCGGACTAGGAATTATTTTTTATGAATGTGCTGCAGCCCACAAATTGACAATGTTGGCGAATGATCGTAATACGAAGGACATCAACGCAGTAAGGAAATGGAAACCAAAATGGAGGTCTGGGATAAGTTCCTTACAAGTCATAGTATCGATCAGCATGTTATGACTTACATATTAGGAAGTTTTTCTTACAAGTCGCTGGTTTAGAACAGCAAAAGTTCCATTCTAGAATGTAGTAACATGACCTAAAATCAATTGGAATGTCCTATCTACGGATGGCCTCGTCTTTACTACAGATTCTTTGCGCGTAGTAGCCATACGGCTATTTCACAGACCTTATGGATCGGCTCATGACAAACGTCAATGTGGACAAACGCTCAGTAGATGCGGTCTCGATCTATGTGAGTTTTGTCTATTATTCTTGGCACTTCCAGTACTTTTGTCGAGGTAAAATAGGCCAAAACTTTCTGTTGGGTTTGAGCTTGTGGCGGTAACGAGCCACTGCAGTTAGCGCTGTCGCAACATGATTTTTCTTTGGTCTGGTTACAAATGTATACTTGGGCAGTCAAGGCGTGATGTATTATGCCGACGTTACCTTGAGGTTTTTCGTTGCCTATTATGTAGACTGAAGGGGAACCTCAATTGAACCATTATCTTCAACCTTGGGTATATTGACCAGAGGGATGACTGGGCACTCTAAAATACTTGCATGATACGGAGCGGCTCCCGGAATAATTAATTGATTTGGTTAGACAAGATCGGGAATAGCAGGATTACATGTCTAGGGGTGTCTGATAAGATTTCAAGACAGCTGAATAAATCAATCGCCCAGGAGTTTTGTGGGCTTGACCGTTCGGACGAAGAAACCTTGAAGAACTAATGGCCTGGGCAAACTGAGATTCCGACTAGACTACAAGGAGTTGGACACTATTTTACATAAGTTAGTGAAGCGTACCTTTCAACCAAGAATATATATTACGGATGCTGCTTACACATATATTTGCACCACCTGCGTCAGAAGCAGGTGGACAAAGATTAGTATCGAGACAGCAACCTAAAACTGGACCACTTGTTACACAAGTCGTTAGGAGCGGACACTATATTAGGGTCAGTTCTGAGTCCATATACATGGACTGGATGATATTTACGCATATTCCTGCTGCGGCACAGAAGGGTGTAGCGGCGGGGCAACTGATACATATTCCATTGACACAGGCGCCACCGCCCGTATCGGGAGAACACTAAAGAGGGTAGATTAGCAAGATAAAATTTGTTGTTTTTTTTGAGGCGATGTTAGAGCTTACCGGTGTATTGCACTGTCCACAACTGGTTAGGCTGGTCAATAAGTCCGCACACACTCCACTGCAACAAGCAGGTAGTCCGCCGGTGCATGTAGGAGTGGTGCAGGTTCCGCAATGATTTATATCCAAACTGAGGTCGGCACATATACCATTACAGCAAGCAGGAGTCAGACCTCCACATGGTAGGGAGAGACAGTTCCCGCAGTGGTTGACATCCGTGCTGAGATCTGTACAAGTCCCACTGCAGCATGCAGGGCTCCCGCCAGTACAAGGAGCCGCTGTACAGGCTCCACAGTGGGACGTACTAGTTGCCAAGTCAGTGCAGGTGCCACTGCAACAGGCTGGCCTGGTTCCGAGGCATGGAAGCGTAAGACAAGCACCGCAGTGGTTAATATCACTGCTCAGATCCTTGCATGTGCCTGAACAGCAGGCTGGAGTGGTGCCCGTACAGGCTGTTGCGTTACAAGCGCCGCAGTGGCTGATACTCGATGACAGATCAACACAGGTTCCGTTACAACATGTAGGAATCAAGCCCGTGCATGTAGCTGCTGTGCAAGATCCACAGTGGAATATGTCGGCGTTGAGATCTGTGCATATACCGGTGCAACAGGCTGGGTTAGTACCAGTACATGGAGCAGCATTGCATGATCCACAGTGCTGAGGGCTTGATAGTAAGTCGGCACAAGTGCCGGAGCAACAAGCGGGAAGTAGACCAGTACATGGTGCAGCTGTACAGGAGCCGCAGTGGGTAGCGCTGGTGGCCAAATCAGTGCAGCTGCTGTTGCAACATGCGGGATTCTGGCCAAGGCATGGAAAAGCAGAGCAGCTACCGCAATGATTGAGGTTTGAGGTGAGATCTGTGCAGTTCCCGGAGCAACAAGTTGAGGCGGTTGTTGGGCACTATAGTCATTAGTAAAGTGTGTTTTCCGCATCACCCAGCAATATAACAAGTACTTACAGTAGTACTGCAGTTGCCGCAATGAGTGGAGTTTGAGCTGAGATCAGCACACGCCCCCGAACAACATGCCGGAGTGACTCCAAGACACGGAATGGTAAGACAGGCGCCACAGTGATTAGGATCAGAGTATAGATCAGCGCATGTTCCGAGGCAACAAGCTGGTTGAACTCCGGTACACTATTTGGCCCGTATGATTAGAAATCTCGATCAAAGTGGCTTCCCAACATTAACTTACGTTTGTAGCGCATTTCCCACAATGATTGGCGTCAGTCGCAATATCAGTGCATTCTCCTGAGCAACAGGCTGGTGCTATGCCTAGGCACGGCCCGCTATTGCAGGATCCGCAATGAAGAAGGCTTGAGTCGAGGTCACTACATATACCCGTGCAGCAGGCTGGATCGGTACCTGTGCACTGTCCGACTTTGGTAAGATGATTCTCTCGCAGACGGAAGGCAAAGGTGAGCTTACATTCACTCCACATGCCCCACAATTTGTGGTCGATGCCGTTAGGTCAGCACATTGACCAGAACAGCAAGCGGGTATCGTTCCATTGCACTGTGAAGATATGATACAATTAGATTCCTTATCAAGAAAGTGGTTCATTTTAGTTCAAGACTCACTGTTGGTCCGTTGCAGCCACCACAATGCGTGATACTCGCCAGATCTTGGCAGGTACCATTGCAACACGCAGGCTGAAGTCCGATACACTTTCGATGGGTTAGAGTTGGAAGGAATTCTCTTTTGAAGGTCATATGCTCACTGGAAATGCATTACAGCTTCCGCACTTGGTTAGTGATGTGGCGAGATCCGCACAGCTGCCAAAACAACAAGCAGGTCGCTGTCCAATGCACTAGAAGAACGGTTCATCAGCTCGAATCTTAATATTTTTGTGGAGCATGTGACACTGCTCAACGGAAGAGAATTAAGATGGACTGAGTGTCTCCGGCTAGGAATGATATAGAAGAACAGCATGATGAACGAGGAAGGAGTGATATGATGTTTGCTGAAGAAGGCAGTCTCAGTATCTTACAGTATTGTTGCATGTTCCACAGGTGGTAAGGCCTTGGCCAAGGTCTACGCAACTTCCTGAGCAGCAGCCAGGAATTTGTTGCCCTGCACACTGATAGGATGTTAGACAAGAAAAGATTGGTCAATTGGGGACCTTGAAAACAAAGGCAAGGCTTACAGGTGCGTTGCAATTTCCACAATTATTGCTGTCCGTCTGCGTATCCACACAGTTGAAGTTGCAGCATGTTTGATTAGTAGCACACTACACAGAATTTCTATTCAGTTGACATTACTCTTGTTTTGGAAATTCTCCTTGATTAAGACATACCGGTTTCCATGGTAAGAATGGTGCGCAAAGGAGCCCATCATCATTAGTTGGAAACGGAGTGGCCCTGACAGTTGCAACAACGGATGAACTTGCGTTCAACGGTTTTGCGTTTGAGGATACAAGTCCACATATCAGAAGTACTAATTCTCATCATTATTTTACATAAGAAAGAGGAATCTTGAAATCATTGAAATTCAATCATCTCACCAAGGGCATGGACAAGAAACAATCTTTTGTTGGCCATCTTCAACAAGGCCAGGTATCAGACGAAGCTATTGAGGTTCCCAGTGAGCTTCTTGAATTGTATGAATTTGAGGCTTTACAAGCTTGATATCCCCCTTAAAAACGAAAATCATTGGGTTTAAATGTTCTCTATATTACACAATATTGTTCCCACATGAAAGCATCGGTCCAGAATGGGAGCCCGAAATCATCGATATCCTCCTCAATTGTGTTACTTTCTGCATGTGTCCGCTTCTTTTATGTGTTGGCCGAGGAAGACTTCATTGAGATTGTTCTCCATTGCAGCCTTTTGGTGTCTTACACCCTCGAACAGCTTCAGGGTTACTCTACGAAATTTCATTTAAAGACCGAGTCGGTGGGCGACTTAATGCAACAGTATTTTGAGTTTTGGCATGCTGCTTGATAAACTGTGATACGACGATTATATGTTGCACATATCCCCGATTCCATTTAAATTGCCGATTCATGTGACGAATCAACTTTAGAATGATTTCAAGGTCATTATGTACTCTCATATCAAGCTAAGCCAAGTCTGATGGTATTGGCATTCCTTGAAAGGGGGCAATTAGTCAACCGTTTGTAAGGCCCAGCTGTTGAAGGAAATAAGAAGCAATATATATGCTGGAAAATCCGTAGTCTGTGATACCGTATCCTACTGTAACCAGTGCTCACGGTTGTGTCACCCGTGAGCTTCGAACATCGTTAAATAGGTGGTAAAAGCGGTATCCGGGCGATATATAGCGTCGTTGTGCACACTGAGCTTCTGCCTGATTTCGGTTTTCCTTTAAGGCTGGAGCGGTTATTTTTCGCAATTGAAATTTCGGGTGCTCCAAATGTGCGCATTCAGTTGAGCAAAATGAGCACACAGCCAGATGGTCACCCTTGAAAGCGACGATAGTTGGGATACATAGCTATGAGAGCCTACATGGGATTGATATTATGTCTAGTATAAGGGTGTATATACAGCATCTAGTACAGCAGAGAAGGTAGAAGTCAATACTTATTCTTCACAGGGAAGGAAATTCATTATGCAAATCATATACATGCTATGGATATGCCGAGATTATGTTGCACACAGAAGACATTATTCATGAGGCCCACGGAACCTCGATATCGAGTCTATCCGCTATCCGCAGAGCTGAGGCGATGCACCCCTCGAGCAGGACCATCCCGTCCCAACACCAGCTTCCTACAACCCAGACATTCCCGTCCCCATTTCGCCACTGCTTCGAGTCTCCATCGCTTTGTGATGCTGGGCCAAAGATCTCGTTTGTCACTTTCCGACTGGTAGGAGTGCGCAGAGTCCGTGTAAATGTCACAGTGTGTTCTATTTTCGATGGATCGATAGGAATGATAGGCGAGGTTGTGATAATAACGGAGGAAAGATGCTCATGTGTGAACTCTGTTGATGAAGAATTCGAACAAAGATGGATTCGTTCAGGCGGTGGTAGTCCAGGTTCAGGGTGAATACCGCCATCCACGACCTGACTGCATTTCGCCAACCGGTCAAAATCACGATGAACGTATGCTGGAACAGTAGCAGTCGGTATAACAGAGAGCGCACTTCGAAGAGGGGGGAAGATCGCGCGAACAACATCCGGAGTAACGGCCATGATGACATGATCATATAACTTGGATTCCGTTGAGCCGCTTTCGTCGTTTTTCCAGGTCAGTTGGACTTTCGAGCCAACATTCTCAACTTTAATGGCTGCCGAGGAATATCGCACGTTGAGACCCTTGGAAAGTTTATCTTGAACTTTACTAACGCCACCGATGACAGTGTAATGCGGCTTTCGGAAGGTTTTTGCCTGATAGTCAACGATATCGATCGCTGGGAAATTCAACAACGCATCGTGGGGACAGGTTGTCACCGCAGACATGATTGGGAGGTAATAATGCTTCACGAAGTATTGTGGCAAACGGATTCTCGCCACGTATTGGTGAAAGGTTTCTGATGGCCTTGAGTCATCCCCTTGTTTGGGTTCGATAAAGAATGAGCAGATGACCATCCACAAGTAGCAGACTAAAAGGTAGAGTGCCTCGACAAGCCATGATGCCCATGAAGATCCTTGAGGTCGCAGTGGGGGAAATTGATGGATGTGAGATGAATGAATAAATCGTGTGTAGATATCATTCGTATTTGATTCTGATATTGTTGAAAATGGAAAGATAAATCTTTGCGATCCATATTGGATTCCCAGATAGTCGTACATGCGTCTCAGATTGTCGTAAAAGCCACTTGCGAAGGCTCGCATGGGTAGATCTACCCGCTGCTCTGTCCCCGAATTGTTTCTGACAGTGAGTGAAGCAGAGTCAAGCGACAATTTTTGTTGCTAGAGAATGACTTAGAACCGGGGAGACAATTAAAGTATTTTAAGAATATCACCCACCTTCTCGAACACCTCCACATCAAATCTAGCTCGTGGGTCGTTCCTTAATATGTACGCAGTGATGAGGCCGGCCATGCCAGTGCCAATAATGGCGACCGACTGGCGTGATTCGACCGATGACATGAGTGCTACAGGGACTCCACCAAAGTTGCCATAGAATCAAGAAACAAGTTTGTTCCTGGATGTTGAGGATTGTGACCGCCTTGAGACTCGGTTTACCTGCAGAAACCGGCTTTGTCAGCCCATTGGGTCTGGAATGGCAGAATCCCCCTTTTCTCGGTTCCCAGCTTCCATCAAACGATCCCCATGTGACAATTTTGCATCGAGCTCCAGCTTGAACCAATGAAGTTGCCCCGATTTCCCTCGCGTCAAATGATCGAAGCCAAGACCACGAGCCAAGACCAATAGCCAAGACATTTTGCCTTGTTTGTTTCATTCCAGCCCATTCGGTCTTCTTCTATTACAGTATTATGAACTATTTTCTACGTTGAGCTATATTTTCATGTTTTTAGTATGTGACCAAAGTTGTCATACCTTTGTCATTTCTATTTCAATAGTTTTCAGGCTATGATATCCACCCTAACCGCTTGCCGCTGGAACCCACGGTAATCCGGGGTCAGGTGTATAAGCGCTAAGGGGGGCGCTGTGCAAAGGTATACCAATTTCAAGTAGCAAATGGATAGCACCAGCCATACTGGGCAAAGCAAGAAATTCGATTCTCCTCTTGAGGAGAGTTAAAGTCGGATAACAAATTTCTTCTCCATCGGATTTTGTCGGACAGATCTTGATGCTGCCGAGCTGAACCCACTTTAGGAGCTCTCTTCCGAGCTATGCTGCGGAGTGTTCTTTGAAGAACGTATAAACCGCATATAGAACCTGAGTGAAGCATGATATCTTAGGATGAAGCGGTTGATACCACCAAACTCGTTGCCATCAGCTGGAGAAGAAGCAGACACAGAGTCATCAGATTTGACTTTGAAGCCTTCATCACCATCATTATCCCTGCCCTCGCTTCCATGCACCAAGGCCCTAAGTCCGGAGCTCGAGTCTCCATCTTTAAAAAGGCTTTTTGCTGAAGGGGAACGGTTCTTAATACTCCAAGCTCGTAGTCTGTTATTTGTATGCTTCCTTTTAGGAAAAGGTGACGAATTTGATAGCCGTCTATCCTCATGCTTGCGCCATTAAAAGAGATAATAGTATGCTTGTCTTTGTAATCGCATTCGCACTATCTCTTGACATCGTTGGAGCTCTAGTCCTACTCATTGTCTTGAGAGGAAGGCTAATGCCGCCTTATTTTTCGTTATCATCTCATCTGATTGAAAGGGACTAGACTGGTTAATGACCGTCATCGACATTCTAGATCACTAGACATACCTTGCAGTAAGAGATTCATTGATTATTGGCTCGGGCGTCTGCTGTGCCTCAAGCCTCAAGAGATTAGGGAATCACGACGTGACCTATTTTATGCAGCGTATGCGAATGACTTCTCCTCCGATGAAGATTTATTGGACGATACATGTATGCTTTTTTGAATAAACCAAGGTAGTATGCTTCCTATGGTGATTAGGAAGTTGACCGTAATTTTGTCCTATGCTGGCGGCAGTAGACCAGTTCTCTCCGCTATGTTTGCCCTTTTTCTTGAGATCGTTCAATCTCAGTATGTATGCCCATTCCTCTCGAGAGGAAGGCTCAAGATCGTCATGACTCATGCGAACCGGATCCCGTGTCCTGTTACTGGGCTGCACGACAGTGAAGAACGACAGTGGTCGCAGTTCATCATGGACATGACCATCATTCTCTGGATCATCAGGCGTAAGTTCTATCTCAAAATCAATCAACGATCGGCTCGGCCGCCTGTTTTCTCCAAGGTGTTCGGCGACCGGGGAATCTTTACTTGACATGATCGACGCTGCCCATTCATCTGACTTCTTCTCCTTCGGAGTTTGATTGATCGATGCAAGAAGCAGTGATGTATAGAGATCGGTTCCATTGGATCGTATTGGCGGTAATAGCATGCTATCACCCTGGCTTGCCGATTCTAAACACTTATCGGGGATGTCGGCAGAGTGTTTGGGAGCTGATATCTCCTCCTGGCTTTCCGATTTTGAAGATTCATAGCCGACGTCGGCAGGGTGCTTAGGAGCTGATTTCTCCTCCTGGCTTTCTGATTCTGAAGAGCCATAGGCGACGTCGCCAAGGGGCTCAGAAGCAGATTTTTGCTCCTGTACAGCTGCTCCAATCTCGTCCTGAGATAGAGCACGCAGGGTGTCCAGAATATATTCACGGTTGTGGGCAAATATTTCGGGAGTAATACCGATGCTCTGTAATTCTCTACGAAGTTGCCTCCATTCCTCTTTCTCGTCTGTTGAAAGCGATCCAGTTGACACGCTTGACATGACCGACGACTCACGCTTGCCGGCACGGATTTCATTGATAAAATTCCTCAACAATCGGTCAAAGTTTGCATGCGAGGATCTGCCAGACATTATTAGACATACATTTGTGGCCCATGAGATTCGTAGACCCCACCGTAATATATTGTCATTGAGAACATTCAATCCGTTGATATAGGTGGTGAGTTTTGAGCTGAGGTCAACTAAATCATCCTCTCGCCAGCCCATTCGTTCCCAGGTAGCCTGGGTTTGAGGGTTGACGCCATCAAAGTGGTCCTTCAACCGTGAAAGATCAGTCAAAGTACTGTGGCAGTTGGCTAAGGCCTCTTCGAGTCCTTTAACCTGTTCATTGCCAGCTTGGACGCCCTGCGTATGCTCCTTGGTCGCGTCCAGGACGGCTACGAGAAGGCCAAGCTTGTTTCTAATCTGACCGAAGAGCTCTGAAGAGTTGAAGAGTGATTTGAAGAGGGAATTTGCGAGTGGACGAACTGTTGTGATATTATCTATGGGTTTAAAACAAGTCAGAGGTCATCATGAGCCGTCTTTCACAATCACTCAAGAATCTGAGGGGCGTATACGGATATTCACATTGCCAGTCGCAGTGATATTGCCACTGAAGATAGCACCTCCTTGGGTATTCTTCGTTTCTGACCATTCTATAGAACGTGCTTATTGTTAAAAGAACTCGCTCCCCTTTCTACTTTGATGTGTCTCAATATCGACGTACCTGTGCTTACACTGCCATTAATGACCCCTGCTTGGAATCCTAAATTGTGACCATCAAAGTTGATCGATGTCATTTTCGCGTTAAGACTCTATCATATTTTGAAGGGTCATAGGGTGCAAGGGGAGAGTGCTCGCACAGCATGAAAGCAGCGACAAGTCCCGACTCAGCCCCAGAGTGTTCATCAATCAGGTGATGGTGCAGGGGCCTCTGATTGGAGCCAACACATCAAATGATAATACATGCATAGAAACTACACTTTGCCTTTGATTTTTGACGGGCTTTTTATGAGGCTTAAAGAGATATGAGCAACTTAACGCAGGTGACTATATAGCGGCAAATCGCTTTCACTGCAAATTCGCCAAATTGTAGGAATCAGATGCTTTAAGAGTACCTGTAGCAGCCTATCATACAACGATCTTTCTTCGCAGTAAACTTCGAGACAATGAAATAAGCGAATTTGGGAAGAAACAGTGTGTTTAGAAATTAAATACGCGAATTAAAAGAGGGAATTAAGTGATTGCATCTACAACAAGGTTTAACGAGGGCCCCATGTTGAAGGGGCTTGGCATCGGCCCAACCAATCCCGAACATCAAAATACAGCAAACCTCCTCCACATCTTCAGATATATCTACAAAACCCATCCAGCCTTATTCCGCATTACCAAATTCGTTTTAAATAATCGATATAAGTTGCAACGCTTCATCAGATATGCTGGGGTTCATCCAGCGAACCTTCAAAAAGCCCCGCATCGAAACCTACGGGCTAGACCATGCCGTTCTCAATATCCAGCTCCCACCCCAAACAATGTGGATGAACATGGGGTACTGGGAAGTAAGGAATAAACTCCCTCTCAGACTGGAAACATGTTAACATCCACCAGTCCACATCCGATTTCCCGGAAGCTTGTCGAGCCCTGCTCGATCAAGTCTTAGCAGCGGGTCTCTTGAAAGACCAGAGCCAATCTGTACGGCTGCTGGATGTTGGATGCGGGTGTGGTGATCAGTCACTTTATTTGACTAGCCTTCACAAGGACTCTGTACCCACGGCATTGACATCAGAATCTGGATCTGGATCCGGGTCAGCCTTTCAAGCTACACCGACATCCTCACTTCCTCAATCCAGATTGCAACACGACCAAACTCCATTGATCGATACATACATAGGTATCACACTGGAGCCTACACAGGCAGCATTAGCCAAGTCCGGGGTACAAGAAGCACAACAGAAAGCCTCAAATCAATCAGCAAAAATATTCTGTGCCGACGCCGCCAATCCCGCAAGCTGGTCCGGAGATCTCCAGGCCTCAGTCAAGGGACTATCTACAACCTCACAAGACCCCAATATAGAGACATGGCTCCTGGCCCTCGACACAATCTACCATTTCCGTCCATCGCGTTGGCCAATCATCCAATTTGCGCATGATACCCTCCAGGCTTCGTACATGGCATTCGATCTCGTTCTCGCGGATGATGCCTCATTTGTCCAATGCCTTCTTATGCGCATGGTTTGCTGGGTCCTGGGCGCTCCGTTTGGCAATATAGTCACGCAAGAAGAATATCGACGTCTTCTTGTTAATGTCGGGTATGAGCCTTCTCAGATTGAGATGAGGGATATCTCGGAACATGTTTTTGGGGGGTTGTCAGCATTCTTGGGTAGGAGGATTAAAGAGGCGGAGCCGTTTGGATTGAAGATGAGCAAATATCGGGGGGCTAGAGTTGTTTTTAATTGGTGGGCTAAAACTGGGATTATCAGGGGGTATGTGGTTGTTGCAAGGAGGTCGTGATTGTATTTTGATTGCTAAATATAGATGAAAATTTTCATGTACAGTATCCATTATATTATGTGCAATACATGCACTCATGAAAATATCCCACTTCTGCATCAAGTTTCGCATTGCATCGCAACCAGAATACACTTCACGCAGCAGGCGAAGGACTCTGTGGGTTACGGAACACATTGTTAGGATCAATCTCCTCCTTGATCTTCCGCAGGCGCGGTAAGTTGTCACCCCAGTACGCCTCCGGACCATCGGACAAACGAGGGTCAACGTATCCAGGGTACGCGGCATACGCAGCCTTGTCAATCGTCGCGATATCATTGACACCATCCAAGAAATCAATCTGAGTCTGAGTCACATCGCCAAGCAAGTTGATAGAGTACGTCTGCAACCAGATCAGTGCATCACGATGCGCGTAGGAGGTAGCATCGGATGCAATCGTATTGGTATAACCGCCCTCAAAATCGAAGATAAGGAACCAAAGCAACGTGCCCTGAGCGGTATTATCAACGTACTCGAAGAACTCATCGATGGTCTCATTGCTCATCAATGTATCAGCTGTCATCGCAGTAGACTTCGAGTAGAAATGAGCTGGAATACCACCTCCTAGCTCTAGTGCTACTTCTTCAGCCCATTCGCCGACGAGACCGAGCCAGGATTCGAACACGATTGCGCTGCCGTTCGCGCCCGGGAACTGGGAGCCGATATCTAGCGCGTCGTACTCTGCCTTCGTACCGAAGTAGGTACCTGAGATGATCACGCTGTCGATCGCCAGTGTGAGAGTTGAGGCAAGTTTCCAGGTTAAGTCTGGATTTGAGACGTAAGCTTGCCACTGTTTAAATAGTGCGGCCCGCTCTGAGGTAGATCCGATCTTCAGACTGAATTCGTATTGAACAGCTGTGCCGGGTTCGGGTTCTGTGCGGACTTTGAATTCGGTTACGATTCCGAAGCCTGATGCTGCGCCTTTGATGGCCCAGAATACGTCTTGGTTCTGTGTATCCGATGCTTGGACGATACTGCCGTTCGCGAGGACTACTTGCGCTTCTAGGACGTGGTCTAGGGCCATACCGAACTGTCGTGCTGTTGGTCCTAGTCCTCCGATGGTGAAGTGGCCGCCAGCGCCGATCTGAGGAGATGTTCCGTGTGACATAGCTCGACCTCCGGCGTTGTGAAGGCGCTCGGTCACGTCTGTCAAGAGTGTGCCACTACCGATTGTTGCTTCCCAGCTTGTTGTGTTCATCGAGAATTGCTGGAAGTACTTCATGTCAATGGCGACGGCACCGTCGACTCCACCGAGACCTGATATCGTATGAATTAGCTTCTTGGGTCTGAATCTTATCGAGTACTGGTACGCACCGTAGTTCCCGTAGCTATGACCGCCACTCTTCGCCTGGACAGGATATCCATTGTTGGCGGCACACTTAACAATAGCCGAGACCTCTTCCGCAGTGGTTGGGAAAGCGACGGCCGCAGGAGTGACGGGGTAGTCCAAGTTGTAGACCTCCACATCCACAGCCTGGTAAAGAAGGTCTCCAGAAAACGCAACTTTGCTCACAGCTTCCCGCAAGCAAGGCTTCAGGTTATCGGCATTTGCGACGGTAGCCGCTGCGCTTAGAGTAAGCAACAAAGTTCGAAGAGTGGCCATCTGGGTATGATGCAGCCAATAGGGAGGGGTTCAATCGGATTGTTGACGAATTCAAATCACATTTTAAAAGGGGGGCCACGAAGTTTATATACGCATGCCCGGAGTAGGGCCAGGGCTGTGGGGATTCATCTTAAATGATAAAAGCGTAAGCCACCGGTGGCCGGCTTGAATAATTTCAGTATTGTGGGGATCACGAAGAGCTGAGCTGCCAGTTAACATGCTCTTTGGTGGGTCTTTGTCGTTCAGCTGGACGACTTGTTCAAGCCCCTGGTGGCATGGGCCAATTGGGGGGCCGAAAACACGATCGGGGGTTTGTGAATGACACTAATTTATGTGACTAGTGATGCCGATCGATTTTGGGTACCTTGCTCCGCCCATTCGGACAGCTCGGAGATTCGTTTGCCTAATAATGACTGTCACGCGGGTTGTTGACTGCTCATCAGGTGTATCTTGAGCACCAAAACAACATCAGTGCTGACAGAGACAAGGATCTTGTGCATATTTTGATGTACGTTAGCCATGTTGTGGATTTGGACCTGCGATTCATTCTCCACATAAGGAGAACATGGAAAGTGGGAAACATTCAACCGAACCTCTTAGTCCTAGCACCCTGTTTGTTGCTATCTATACTTCTCCACTATTGGTATACAAAGCACTGAGTACGGAGAGTACAAACGTCCAGATAATAGGGTTATGTGTGTTCATTTATAACTGCACAGTAAGAAATCATCATTCATGGTCTTCTGCCACCCCCTAATATGCAGGCGCCATGTGAAATGACTCTGCCGGTCTCGTTGAAGAGATAAGAAACAAGAATCGCTTAATAAAATATGAACAAAAAGTAGTTCTGAGTTCTAATGACTCAGAAACCACCATCTAAAGCAGCAGGGGAGAATGTCACCAGTGGAACGAACAAGACCGGGGATAACATTTTTTTGTCATCTTTTGTTTCGTTTTGTTTAATTTTTTATTGCTTTACGCAATTGTGCCAACTCCGTGCTTGGACTCGGAGGGACTTGAGGAGAGCTCGTTGCGTGATGCCAAGAAGCTCTTGAACATGTCGGAGATAGCCTTCTCGGATGCCTCGTTGCGCTCTTCGTTGCCGTTCTTCTCCATGATCAGACCACGGAGCCAGTGGTTCTCCAGCTCGAGCTGAGATACACGAGCCTCAAGAGCACTGTTCTTCTCGTTGGTATCCTTGACAGTGCGCTCCAGAGCCTGCTCACGCATCTTCTTCTTCACACGGAAACGAGCACTGGCTGCTGTGTTTCGGCGACGCTTGTCCTCCTCGGCGGCGTTGCCCAAGACCTCCTCAGTGGTAACCTGAGGTGTCTTCTGGGTGTGCTTGCGCTTGGGGCCAGCAGCAGCGGGAGTAACCGGAGAAACGTTCTGAATGGGTGCTGGGGCCACGCTCTGGGGCACCTGCATGGGAACAGCAGGAGCAGGGGCGGTGGTAGGCGAGGGAACGGCCGGGAACGGCGCATTTTGCACGGGCGCTGGGGCGTTCACACCAGTCAGGTCAGTCTGGAAATCGGTGATATTTGCGAGGCTTCCATCTGTATCCACCAATTAGCATTGAACTATGACATGAATGCATCGCACATAGCCCGATTTCGGTGAATCGAAATGGTTGGCCAAGGGTCCATCACGTGGTATGGCGTAAGAGCGGAGCAGACTCGCGTCTGATATAGCCAATTGCCAGGACTGCTAGTATCAGATCGGAGATGAGCAAAGGCTCAAGCGCCACTGCACGATATGACCTGCAGGGCCCCGGAAAAGAACCTTCAGAGGGGTCCAATCAGGGTTGAATCAGGTCATGGGCAAATCATCTGTTCGAAAGGCGCCATATAGGGCCAAGCCTCGTCTAACCGACCCCCGCTATCGTGTGGGCAGCCAGCAACTGACTATGCAAGTCTTGAATCACCCATTATGTGTGATGACAAGAGTGGTGCTATGAAGTGGCCACATGAAAAGTATCGACCGTGGACAGAGCCCGGGATACTGCGATTCGGGGGAATCGAAAAGGCATAACCGCTTGTCCAACTACTTGTCCAACCACTTCGAGGCAAGTAAATCAACGTCAAACTTACCGTTCAAGAAGTCCAAAAATTTCATATCCCCATTCTGTGTAGATGGATCGATCTCGCTGCGTGTAGTCTTCTCTACCGGATCGAAGGAAGGCAGGTCCAGGCTGCCAAAGTTGTCGAAATCGAAGAACTCGGCGTTGGTGAAAAGAGCCAACTCATCATCGACGTTGAAGGTGTTCTGCTGCTGTTGCTGCAGGGCCTGATCGTATGCGGATGGGATGGCATTCAAGTCGTCAAGATATTGCGAAAAGTTGGGGGCGCGACGCCCATTGTATCCGGCCATTGTGAAGGTTTGTCAACCTCAGTTGAGCGACTCAAATCGAGGCGAGGTATTCAAGACCGTTTCGCGTAGACGGTCGTCGGACGTAACTCGGTCGCGCCGGATGCGGCTCGGTCGGGATCGTCAATTCGGTATTCGATGTCACTGCAGTGACGGTTTATTTTCGGTTGATATGCGCGTTCGTGAATATCACCGTTGTCGGTTGTCGGTGATGGTGATATTGAAGAGAGGAAAGTGGGAAGGAGAGAGGGGACTTGGCTCCAGAATGGGGGCCACGAGTGGGTTTTTTCTTTGAGTTTAAAGTGGGGAGAGCAGAGGGGTGATGATTAATCCCCGTTTGCCTCTTGAATCATCCGTTCCATACTTTGGCTCGGATGTTACGGCCAGCTTCCTTGAAACTACTGTTATGATGACATGTAGGTTTAATTTTGGACCTGAAGCTAAGTGACGTAAAACAACAGTCAATATTTCCATTTTCCCATTTTATTTCCACTGAGTCTGAAGCTTGAGCGATACAATATGGTTAGAACGATCGCACACAAACCGCCGCCGATGATCGGAGGCGAATCCACTTTCAATCCACTCCCGGACCAACTGCCCCGAATGGGGTATATGAGTGAGAACGGGCTGCTTGCATACTAAATCGCTCACTCTCCACCTCACCTCCGCATTGTCATGCACAATTGACGTTTTTTGAGTTAAGATTGAGGTAATCAAAGGGCAGTCGGACTGAAATTCCAGCGATAAACGCGGCTTCGAACCAAAAGTTGGAAACCCAAGGCCTCGGGTCCGGCAACGGTGATTGGTTGATCTAAGTCTCCCCTACTTGCATTTGTAAGCTCCGGCGCAGCCACAACTGAATCGGGCACACAGAATCATCCTACTTTCCCCGTCATTCCGCATTATTAATCAGGTTCACAACTGCATTGACCTTGTACTACGTCGGGGCTCGCATGTGGTATTAGACTTATATCATGTAGGATCACACCTTGCAGGAACACTACAGGGAAGAGCTGCACAACATTGCCTATAAGTTATGAGCACGGACTCCGCAACGGCCCGGCGGATTAGCGCCGGTTCTGGAAGGGTTCAGCTCTCATGAACGATCTTTAAGAGTCAATATTGAGAATACGAGTGGAAGCTCGTGTTTTTCTTTATCACCCATGGAAGGTACTGGACGATGACGGATCGGGGTAGCTAGTATACCTCGGCCAAAAACTGGTTTCGGAGTTTCGGATGGCCGTTCTAGATTCTGCAGTGACGCCAGAACAGGGCATGGACGATTGACACTCGTGTCATTCAAACTAGACATGGACCTCGTATAGGACAGTCAGGCATTTTGGCTCAATGGTAATCCACTCTCTTCATTCATGTATGCATTGAACAATCCCCATTATACTGTACAATGTAACTGTATACAGCACACTAGACCCAAAGTAAAAACGCCGGATAATCTTCCCGCCGAGCCTTCTATTTCTGGAAGCTTATCGACACGTGACTTTGTTGATGCCGCAAGGCCTCATATCAACGCGCGGAATCTAAACCGAGAAAAACAATACGAAGAAAGTAGAGCTCTCGGCGCTCAACCATGCAATTAATTTGAACAATACGCCACGGTACATTCACCACCAATTCGCCGATTGTCGCCGACCATGGCGCGCCCAAAAGCAGTCCGCGCGCCAACGACAGCGAGTCTCCCAAACAACCTCCGCATTCCCTCGACCACATCCTCTTTGACAAAGACCCTGGGCAAGCTTTCTCGGCCAGCACTACTTGATCTAGCTTTGACATGGCTCGACGATCAAAACATCGAATCATTTCCCCCATACCTCCAACGCGACGACAGCAACAACCAGGACGATGAAGAAGCCTTACCCTACCCCGCCGCAGAAACCGTCGAAGAAGTCCGTCAAGTATACGAAGATCTCCAAGAAAGAAAAGGCGGCAAACGCGAAGTTCTCGAAAGAATCCTTGAAGGCGATTGGCGCCACGGAATCACCCTGCGCCAACTCGCAATGGCTGATCTCCGCTACATGGACGACCACCCAGCAAGCTTGCGCTGGACAGCACTGGAACTGAGTCGCATAGACACCCGACCAAAGAAATCCACAGAAGACTGGTCCAGCAATATCCCGCGCATCCAGGCTGCAACTTTCGTAAAAGCCCTGCAGCAGGAAATCGCCTCGCTAGTCAAGGCGCATTACCATCTATCCCGCTCGTCAACACTCCCAATTACATTCCTACGCATTTTTATCCTCGACTCACCCTATCAAACTCCCCGACAAACGCCCGAAGTCTTTGCCGACTCGTCTCGTGTCATTTATGTCGCTTTCCCGGATAGCTGTCCTTACATCTACACTTCTATTACGGCATCATCTGGCTCGAAGGCGCCTGCGCCGTCTAGTTCTATCGCCACTGACCCGCGAAGTCTTCAGCGCTTAGTGCGCGATGCTGTTCCCAAGGCGCTCTCACGTCCTCAGGAACGATATACCGTTAAAGCGACTGCATTAGCGGCGAAGAATCTACCGACCCTATTAGCGCTGCGTGGTCCGGGTCGCTCGACTGCGGCAAATGGTAGTTACAGTATCTTCGCTGATGCCGCTCTTGAAGGGAGTCCGTTAGACCCTCGTCCGTCGAATTCGGTTCTTCCGGAGGAACATCTGCGTGCCGGGCACAAACCTGTCAATGCTGAGGATAAAGAGAATGGGAATGCGGCGGACGAATCACAGATGCCTGCGGCTACATCTAGGAAACGTGTTTCTGGCGTCAGTGATTCTGCTCCGTTATCGCCGACATCTAAAAAGAGGCGATTGGCTGTCGAGTCGCGTTTTGGATCCGCTGGGTCTTCGCTTACACCGGCACCGTTGGATCGCCTGGATGTTCGGCTTTTAGATTTGCCTGCCGGTATTGAGGATGACGGTGTGGATCGATTGGCTGGGCCAGTACCTCCTGTGTCACTCTCGTTTTCTGGGGTCGATGTTATTGGTGGGATTCGGAAACTGGCTGAGTTGGGTGTTATTGATCCTGAACGAATGCCATCCTGGATGACAGGTGAAGAAGCTGTGAGCATGGCTGTTGTTCGTGGAGGCCGGCGGATTAAGAAGTCGGAGTAATTCTCTAGTGTGTTCAAGATTTATATTGCATGTGGTCGCGGCGTCTGGGTTTGTTCTACGGATTGAGTTGGCCTTGTGCTATGATACCCATTTTGGCTGCTTTGCTAGGCGACAAGGAATGTATTTATGTCAATTTACCATTATTACCGATACCCAATAAGGCTACATAAACATGAATACACAGAGACCCCAAAGTCGAAAGCGTGTAGGGTATAAAGTGCAGAGAATCAGGTGTAGAGGGGTGCAGTCAATGGAAACTGAAAAGTTAGTGTTTGTTCCCTTATCCCTTCCCCCAGAAAAATGTTGTAAACATGAGCCCTGCTGGTGTATTGGTTTAAGTCCCTCTGCGGTACCTGATCAAGTGCGTTGGCTAGTGATGATTTCCGGTCCTAGTTAAACGGCTCATGTTACTGGAGGGCGGGTGGGATCTGGCCTACGGGCTGGGGAAAAGTAGGTAGTGATCTTCCTTTTCTATTTATTCTTCATCAGACTAACATTTTCTCATATTATTATGAGTTTTCACGAGGGTGGAATGTGGTGAGAGCGAAGGAGTTGAGAATAAATTGCGGCCGTAAAGGTTATTGTTTCCAAACTGACTCAGGTACCTTCAAACCCTTATTTCCCTAGATTTCTGAAGACGCAGGTTGGGGTTCAAGACCTGGCTGAAGTGTTTCTTTTCCTTTTTCTCTTTCCGAATCTTTTTGTTGGCCCAAGTGGTGTTCCTTGTCTCTTATATGTCTGTTGGTTGAATGCCGGCTAGTGAATCTGTATACAGATACCATAGAATACAAAACATAAATAATTGATATTCAGTATCGATTCATAACGGCCTAAGTAACTGGTATGAATGAAATAATCCTGCGCGATAAACCCGCATTCGCCTTCGCCTTCGAACTCAAACCAAGTTCAGTAATTCTGTGCTCTTGATATTCAAATGTAGAGCCAAGCGCCACGGGTGTAAGGAGTCTAGCTGGCCTCGTTCGAGAGCGGGTCATGCTAGTAATAGTTATTATTACTAGCATACTGTCGCGGCCCAGAGTAGTACGATGGTCGGGCAGTTGAGAAAGGCGAGTACACGGAATAGTCTGTTCGGGATCATGAGTGTTAGCAAGTGCCAGATGGATGGATGGAATGGGGTGGGGATACAAAGGAGGATCCATACCGCGCAGAGTAGATAATCCGAACTGCGACGCCACATTGAGGTATCCGTCATCGCCAACATTGCCGCTCTGTCGAACTGTCTCGATATCGAGGTCCGGGGTTTCTTCTTTCCAGGTGGTCCGGCTGAAATGAACACGGTCAGCCCAATCCATCATGGAATTCCTTCTATCCAAATCTTACCAATACACACAGCGCACTCCAGCTCCTGACTTTCGAGTGGTAGCTGCCCACTGAGCGAAGCAAGCCTTGTGGATGTTATTACCACAGGCCGATTTGCACCAGACGATGTCCTCTGACGGTTGAAGCTCCATGAAGCAGATAGCACAGTCGCCTTCAATGGGCTTCCGCACGCCACCGATGAGATCAATAGGGGCAGACTGACGTCGACTTAGAGGAGAGCCTTGCCAGATTGTGCGAAGTTCCTAGACCGTGGGGAACATATGAGACCTCTGCATATCAATCGCATTAGAGGTCACTTACCGAGGTCAAAAAAGCCAGCTGGTATTGGAGTTCTCCTGGGGCTTTCAGAACGTATACAAGGGCTGTGCATGCCATCAGTAAGAATGAGATGTATAAATTATCGGATGGAGATATAGTGAAGGAGACATTGGAGGCTCACCGTAACAGATGTGCTTGCATTGATTGCCACTCCTCCCATCGGGACAGTCGCATGATGGTTCCTTCCTGATGATAGTCTTGTACATGTTGCCGGTTGACCCGACGATATCGAAGGAAATCTCCGGACTTTCACTCATTAGTCCAGTGACTGTGTGTCCTACAACGAACATTCTGACGTATGGTGAGAAAATGCATATTGAGTATAGTGATTGGGTGTACTAGGGTAAGTACCTCTGGAGTCTGATGCGACGAATTCTTTCGAGGAAAGTCTGTGGCGCATGATCACGATATCTTCTAGCCCGCCGCTCAACTCCATCTGAGCCTGATGATGACTTGCTAGTGTTAGGTCGTGATCTTTGATTGGTGGTCTTTAATTGGTTTTTGGCTGGTTTAGCAGGCCGAGCATGATGATGTGGATGGGTGGTTTTCCCGTTTGTCGGTGGCTCAATAGGTATCATTAAATAATCATCGTTCAACCGTGGACGAACACTGTTTGTAGATGGCTTGCGAGCAGCCTGTCTGGCATGCTTTGCAGGGTTAGGGGATGACTGGTTCCATTGCTTCTTTTCCAATCGCATAATTTTCTTTGAAAGTGTCATTTTTGCTATGATTGAACAAAAAAGGGTCAATAGTAAGGCGAGAAGTGCCTCACAAACTCAAAATGGCTATATTGAAGTGAACGCAAGAGAAATCAGGAGGTTTGGTGGATAGTTTCAGACTTCAACTGATGAACGTGTGTGGGTGTGAGGCTGACGTCATTGGTATGAGTGTTCAAATCTGAATAGGCACGGGGCTCTCGATGTCCCTGAAGACAACGAATAATGTGATTTGAGGAGACTAAGAGAAGGAGAAAAAGTTCAAGGAGAAAGACGCAAAAAAGCAAACCATGACTTAGTATAGCAAACGAAAGAGCATAGATTGACCCCATAGTGTTTGCACTGTTTGTTGCTCCCCGTTTGCTATCGCTATCGCGGCCACATGCAATCAACTTGACCTTATCATGACTCGTGGAGGATGGCCTAGATCACATATTCCTCTCTATTACTGATTGATGGCACGTTCTCGAGCTGCGTCGGGTGCCGAGGCCCCAAAGGAGCCCCATGGGGTCTCCCTGAAAGGTGGGTAAGTCTTGTGGAGTATCGTTGCGGACCAAGCTGACGACAATCCTGAAACTCAGTATTACGGTAAAGCTCATAGCTCTATTGAAATCGCCACATTGTGATGATTGACGTCTGCTAGGCTCTCTCGACCTTCCCTCTCCTATCAATCCCCTCTGCCTGCAGCCAATACCAAGATCTCCCCGAAGGCCTCATTAGGCTTCCCGTCTGCCGGTTCCGATGACCAGTTTATAATTACACCCAACGTGGGTCGATCCTCAAGCTTAGGCTGGTCCAGAATTGGCTAATGCAATGCACAGCTTGCTCTTCCCCCGGCATTCGGTTCGGTCTACGTCGGAGAAACTTTTGCTTGCACCCTCAGCGCGAATAATGAAATTAACGGCGATGAAACCGGGCGGGTCGTGACATCAGTGCGCATTGTGGCTGAGATGCAGACCCCATCATCCGTGGCGCCTCTAGATCTTGAACCATCGGACGATTCGGCGCACTCTAATGGTCTGCAAATTGGCGAGTCATTGCAGAAGATCGTTCGATATGATCTCAAAGAAGAAGGAAATCATATTCTTGCCGTCAGTGTAAGCTATTCAGAGACCAGGATCGGTCAGGATTCACAAGCAGCCAGTGGCAGAGTTCGGACTTTCCGCAAACTGTACCAATTTGTTGCGCAGCCATGCCTTAGCGTTCGGACCAAGGCATCGGAATTGCCGCCATTGGAAGTGAACAACAAATCGCTCGGCCCATATGGGAAAACACGTTTGGTCCGCTTCGCATTAGAAGCGCAGCTGGAAAATGTAGGGGATGGAGCAGTCGTGGTCAAGGTGAGCAATCCCTCGGGCATAAATATGCGTTTCAACTGGGAGGCTAAGTTTTGGCTTACGCACGCAACAGCAAACACGATTGAACCCCAAGCCACCGTTCAAATCCCAATCACTCAATTGGGATGCTTTGGACGAGTCGGCGTCGGTACCTCCGACGTTGAATCCGCGCGACGTGTTGCAAATTGCATTCTTAGTGGAGCAGGAAGAGGGTTGCCAGGAAGGCCTCGAAGCGCTCCAGAAGGATTTAAGGCGGGACGGGCGTGCCACTTTGGGCCAGTTGTCGATCGAATGGCGCGGCGCCATGGGGGACAAGGGGTTCCTTACCACCGGCAACCTCATGAGCCGGAAACGCACATGAAACACGGTGTGAGCCTGATGGAACGCTCCCGCTGACGACGACATGCCGGCCGAGTACCCCGGTGCATCTAGCCGTTTGGGCTGCCGGGCACGAGTGGGCCATGAACATCTGTGGAACCTTGAAATGTAGAACACGTACATACCCTAAGCCCAATGAATCGGGATTCTTTCGGGCATCATATCATACTCAAGTAGACTCAAGTGTTGACTCGGCTAAGGTTGCTTATTGTATAGGACTGGAAATCAACAAACCTGGTTTTAGCCGGGTATTCATAGGGACATTGGCTTCCAGAACTTCGCTCAGCTACAAGGCTGAGTTGTACCAGGATTTGATTAGCCTAGAACTATATGCCGAGCCGCACCCTACCGCAAGTTCCTGGCGCCACAAGCATGGGGCTCGGAAGGCGGCTTTTGCCATGCAGCTTGTGTTGAAGTTCTACGGTCCAGGCCTAGTGGATCTCCCACAGATCATGAAAACGCAAATACCAGTCTGTGAAGCCATATGTAGCCATTTTGCATGTATCAATAATTTATATTTCCACAAAGACTTGGGTATGTATACAGAATTCTAGCCCAGGATCGACCACCCAAGCTGAGCGTTCATGTATGAAGAGTCTAGACCCATCACCTGATGAAGCGTGGATCCCAGCCCACTGGGATTTTCAGCTCAGCTCAGCCTAGACCGGGCACGAGCAATCTAGACGCAACCATGTTGTTTACCCAATGATCATTCAATAGTACCCGATAACCTGAGTGAAATACAAGACTTTTTTTTTCTTGCATAAGATAGGACCCGCCCTTAATTAAAAAACCTTCAGCTTACAGGGGTTTGGGTGTGCATTGCCCACCGCTTTTTTCCTGCAAGATTAAGTACAAAGGACAGGTGCAGGTTGGGATAACCTTGCCGTAGCCTATCGCATGCATAACAAAAAGGGCTATTGGTGCACCAACATCCGACACCCGACACGCTACACGTAAGGTTCTCCTTCGGGCTTTGGTGCTACAGTGAGCGTTGCGGAAATCAAATCCCCACTAATGAGATGATAGGTCAAGAATGTGTATCTGTAGGACATAAGTAAGGGGTTAGGTGTAATCTCGATTTGAGTAGTATTTCCATCAGAATACACTGGTGTTTAACCCGACGTGTGTGGGCTTTTCATAGTAACTTTAGGTTCGTATTTCCGGTACACTTGCTAAAATTCCCAATGAGAAAGTCACACCCCCTCAGTGAAGGCTCCACCTCCATTCCTGATTCGGTAGGGATCGCTTCCCCCAGAGGCACAGGCCTCCACTTTTGTTGACTCCTGACTCAAGCTCGATGGAGTTCATGGAGTTCCCAAAGAATTGCTTACTGTAGAGTAATACAATATGTAGAACCATGATAGTGGCATGGTTACGTTTACATAGGAGATCATCCTCTGGATTACCCTCCGATCCATGGATCGGACTATCTATGAGTTGATAGCAGAAAACAAGTCATTGATATGCGACTTTAGCCATCGGAAATCCCCCAAATTTTTTTTCTTTTTCCCTTTCTACCATAAACTCCTCAGAAAACCCTGAAAATAGGTGACAACCCGGTGGAGAGTTGCCGTTGTAAGAATAAAAGCCATTGTACCAATCCCATGCAACGGATCAGCGGTTCTAAGGAACGCCATGTCTCACGGAGGCGACCAAAGTGACGTTACTAGTATATCCCGCCTCCAAATGTGATCACATTCCCGAGCCCTGACGAACCATCCATGACTCTTTACTCTTTAGTCTTCAGTTCGACCATTGAAGGTTTTGAATTCCAGGGGTGCATTAGATTGGTGCGATGTCGCTTGGCAAGGACCGAATTTATGTCGGACAAACCGTGGAACGAAGTCGGCCCCAGTGCTTTGGGTGAACGGTTGAATGGATCTTAATGGAGAGAGAGTCCGCTCCGAACCAAATGTGGGCAGATTGAGCTCCACTGAACCAAACAGCTCAGATGAATCGGTCGGTTGCATGTTCGGTGGAGACTTTCGCGGAGGTTGTAAATCTAGGAGATTGGGGAATATTAGTAATTCAAGACATCGAAAGAGAAGCTATTAGTTGATATATTTATTTTTCCTTTTTTCTCTGCTCCTCGTGCTCATATCTATGAATATCTTGGTTGTCAATCTTTTCCCCGATGGTCTGAAATCCCTTGTAACCGGCCAGTTACCGTGCAATGGCCTGCAGGACGCTCTCCCGTGTCAGACTCTTGTGCATCATGGCCGATTCCGTATGATAAAACCCCTGGGTACTGCGTAGTGAAAAGAGTATAGATAGATGTTATTGACGGTACTTTTGTTTAATATAAGGCTAATTAGAAAGTTATATGAGCTCCATAGTCCTATCATGACTTTTTTTTCTTTTTGATTCTAGTGGGGAAAAGTTCGGGGCGTGCGTGTGCAGGAGCTAAAAAGTACTTGGTCTGTGCCGAACTAAACTGTATCCGCATTACCAATGTGTACGCAACCATCCGCCCATGTAACTTAACTATTCACTAGGGAGAAAAAGAAATGTTGAAAGAGTAGGAAAAAGAAAAGAAAAGAATCCGACATTCCCCACATTCGTGCTTGCCTTTTTGTTTGCTCTTTTTTCTCGTTTATTTTTCTTTAGGGCATCGTCATATTCATTCTCTCCTTTTTTTCCTTCCCCGTCATACATACACATACATCAAACCCACCCAAAATTGATCTTCACTCCCAAACCCCTCGCCCCTCCTCCATCCCCGAAATTCTCCCTCTTTACCCCCCAAGTCCGTTCAAAAGTACTCAATCGATCAATTCCGACCTTATCCTCGCTTTCTCGATAATAGGCCACGTACCATTCCTCCGCGCTTCCTACGTCGCTTCCTTCCCCGCGCGGTTTTTTTTTTATTGTCGGAACTATCCACACCCCTGATTGATAAGCTTGGGGATTCTGCAGTCCATGTGGTGACAAGAGAGAGGGTATTCCGGTGGAACATTGACCAGGGTAATTGGTTTATTAAGACTGCACTATGTCTTCAACAAGCTCCTTAGAGGGCGCCCCTCTGGCCGATTACTTTTGGATTGCTGGTCTGGACGGATCCGAGGTCTTCGACACATATAGGCGGTTGGGCGAGGAATATCGTATCAATGGCGCTGCATCCCCGGGGCCGGCCCTCGCCGATGCCATTCAGGAAGATGCGGATGCCGAGGAAGAGGATCCCGCGGATGGTACTTCCCGGCCCGTCTCGACTTTGTACATGGGTTCGAATACGAGCCGTCGCGTGTCTCAACAGCGGCTGTCCACTGTTTCCAGGGACTCGGGGCAAACCAATGGCGCGAACAGCAACCGCAGTAGTATGACGGTTAAGGGCGCGTCGTCGCCGTTGCGTGCCTCCGCGCTGTTTTCCGAGGATTTCGATTTCGACCAAGCATTGGTTAAATTCGCGTCGGAGAGAGATACCTTTTTGACGGATTTGAATGTGAGCGCCGGCGCCATTACGCAGAATACTCGTCCTCGATCTCGGGTGCGGACTCAAAAGATTGTTTCGGAAGATTCACCTCAAGGGTCGCCCGGTCTCCTTAGATCCGGTATCGGGAGTGTTCGACGACACATGGCTTTCCGGGATATGAATAGCATGAAAAGACAGCCGTCTATTGCTCGACATGGTAAGGCAATTCCGTTCACCAGCAGCTTGGCGTGGGGGACTGGTGTTCTGTTGCATTGCTAACAATGAACTCGTCTGCAGCTTCGGTGCGAACGTCGCGACGACTCAGTAACTATAACTCGGTAATTCCTGTGCCTCAACCCCTCGAATTCTCGCCGTCCATGCATCCGTTAAAGCGCCGATTTGAGCCCGTCCTACTCGACCGTTACCCCACCCGCAATATGTCTGAAGAGCTGAAGCAGCGTGGAAACTTCCCAGATTACGTTCCGATGTTTGCTTTTCCGAACGATATTAACATCGTTTCTTCTGATGAACGACCGCGATCGACTTGGCACGGATTTGCCATGACAACGGATAATGGCTCCAAGCTTCATGCGATTTGCGTGATCATCTGGATTCCTCTAAACTCTCAGGCTGCGGATGAGCTTGAAAAGCGCTGCGAGGAATGGCGCAAGGATAATATGACGGATGAAGAGCGGGAATTGGCTGCGAGTCTGGGAGAAAGATTGGCTTCCGAGCGGGCGAAGCTGTCACAGCTGCTTGCCCAATTACCGAATGTCCCTTCGGGCTCCGAATCCCGTGAGCAACTCGAGGATGAGATCAGTGCGGTTGAGGAGAAAATCGGTCTCATGACAGACCTCTTGCGTCCGGTTCGACATGGTGCAGCCTCGAAGATTGAGGGCCTCACTGATGGCGATACTGGATTCTGGATTCCCCGGGCATACGGTATTCTTGGCCGAGAGAGCACAATGACCACGTTCTGGAAAGAATGGTTGAAAGCAATTGTTGTGCCAATGACAGAGAACTCCGTCCAGCGTGTTCCTCCTAGTTCTCCCCGTATGGGTGTCTGGCAACCCTTGGAGCGTTATGTGATGAACCTTTGCACAGAGGCATTCTGTCCGGTGTCCTCAAAGACACAGGTTGAGCTTGCAATACGAGAGCTACGCCTCTTCGCCCGGAAAGAAGCGCCGAATGAACTTCCAGGATCACGCAATACTGATCTTTACGCCTTGTTCCGAACCTTATCGGTCCCCAATATCATGATCCTATTCGAGTATGCCCTCACGGAATCCCGGATCATTTTCTTGTCCTCGCATACTTCCATGCTCTACCTTGCGACAAGAGCTTTGGTTGACCTTCTATTCCCACTGCAATGGACCGGTGTGCTCATTCCGGTCCTACCAGCACGTTTGATCCAAGCCATTGAAGCACCCTGCCCCTACATTATCGGTATTGAACGCCGCTATGAGAAGGTTGAATTACCAACCGACGACTTTGTACTGGTAGATCTGGATAACGACATGATTGAGAGTACTATTCGCCCCACCCCACTCCCTCGCCACCAGCGCAGGAAACTCCTCTCACTTCTGCAACTGGCTGCTCCTCTTCATAGTCGATGTGGTGTTCCGACTGGACCTCCGGCATACGCGATTGAGACCTACCCCTGGGACTCTTTCTTGACAGAATCTCCTGCCACCTACAACTCCAAAGCACCGGCGACCAACCTTGCCAAGTATGTGGGCCTCAATTCCAGCGCATTCGGCTCCGCCGCCGTGGTTCCCAACTCTTATCACCCCCCTATCTTCAATGCCTTCCTTCATGCGCGTCAAGAGCAAGCGTCTTCTCGAGGCTATTCTTCGAAGAGTTCCGATCGTCATGGGACTAGTGCGGGCTCCAGAGTTGCTACCTCCCCACCCTCTCCGCGAGAGAGTTCTCCAACCTCGGGTCACTTCCCTCCACCCCCTCCTACCCCTTCTTCACGGAATGATTCTGGTATGGCTCTGCAAGCTTCGCTGCGGGAGAAGCGTTCGGGTCACTTCGATGCTGCGTCTCGCAGAAGTTCCTCGTTCGGCGTGAACCGGCGTCCGAGTGCTCCATTCCTAGGACATACATCTAACCTGTCAGTCACGACTCTGAACACGGAATATGGCACAGGATCCACTTATGCCCCCTCCGTGTACGCCCAATCCACCATCGCCGCCTCCACCATTGTCCCGCAGGCTACCATTCAACCAGTGGGCAATTCTGAAGGCACGTGCTGGATTGAAGGCCACTTGTTCCAGATTCAGCCATTTGACGAGAAGATCGTCTGTGCCATCTGTGACGAGCGAGCCGATGAGGGGATGTATAAATGTTCTTCGTGCAAAATGATCGTCCACAACCGCTGTGCCTCTCAGGTCTGCCTAGTGTGCGATGCGGCTTTCCACGCTGATCAAGTTCGCGCTGCATTCGTGAGATGCTTTGCCAGTTTATTCTATACTTACAAGAAGTATCTTGTGCCTTCCAGTGGCGACAAGAAGAAAGCTGGCATGTACTACAATTTCAACATGGATGCTTTCATGAAGAGCCTTCCAACTGAGCATGCTGAGTATATTGCAGTTCTCCAGCAAACCCAAGGTAAGCGACGACCGTTAATATGGTTCGGTGACAATAGCTCATCTCATTAATTTAGGATTCAACGAGTTCATCAGTGAGCGTGAACGCACAAACCCCAAGACTAAGGATTCGAAGATGGCCCTGTTCGATGAGATTGTCCTGTCCAAACGCAACCGTGGCCGGACATCAATCTTCTCCGGTCGTTCTATGACAGATTTCTTGTCTGACACCTCCAACCATTTATGGCGGACTGCGAACGCGACCTTCTTCGCTCCCAGCCGCAGCCAGCAGAATCTCTCACAAGATTACACTCGCATCAGCACTCGAGGTGAGTAGGCCAAGCCGTTGTTTCTTACCTACCTTCAAGTTAATAATCTTTCAATAGCACCGGCAAAATTGGACACAAGTCTGATGACAGAGCCCCGCATGATTCATGGGGCCCCTCGGGTTTCTAAGACGGCAAATACTGCCCGTAGGAAGCCACTGCCTAAGCTCATGAATGGATTAGCGATCACCCCGTCCAGTTAATTGGTGTGAATTCTTCAGAGATCGTCCGGACATACTACCTGTAGCCGCGTGCGGCCCCCCTCCCTCCTGCATCTCCTCCAACCTGGCCTCCGTTGCCTGAAACAAATCCGGCTTTCGGCTCGGACTCGACTTCCCCGAGGGCGAGTCTCGCCCGTGTTTGCCCAAGAGATTGGCAATGCATGGACGGTACCAATCATCCCTATATGGACGGTGATGCAACCCGGGAAAGACAGACCGCTGGCCGGGCTGAACCTTTTCACCCTTATTCTCTCGAATCTCGTTTGAGCCAGCTCCACTACCCCTGCCTTCTTTTTGCTTTTTTTTTGTTGCTCTTGCAGGCTTTCTGCAGGACCAGGCCGATCAACATCGGTGACCTTGTCACTAGTACTGGTCACACATGCCCCCGATCAAACCTTGAAGCTTATCTCCCTCATCTGTGCTCTGGCGCCATTCCCGCTGGGGTAACTACCACCTTGTCTTGTTGATAGAACGCAGTTTATTCCCCCAGTCATCTTTCTCGTACATAGTGTTTCTCTTGGCTTGATGCCCGGTGGACTGAACAAAACAAAAGACGGAATTTAGGCTGATTTCATTATTTGCGATACATCGTTTGATTTGGTGGGCAATTTCCTTCCTACATGTTTTTTTTTTCCTTGTTAAGGTTGATATCCAATACCCCTTGATTCGGTTGGTAACTCTTTTCCCTCGTTTCTGTTTGAAGTACAGTGTGACGAATATGTTCATTTTTCGACGTTGCGCTATGATACGTTGACCTGGTCATTCTGAATCATTGTCATCGGGTGGATATTGACACGATGATAATCTCCGTGTTTGAATGTTTAATGATGTACTTGACCTGTGAATATGAACTGGATTCTGAATATACCATTGATATATGAAGTTTTGTCTTTAGTTTCCTCGGGACTGCTATAGCCTAAACCGAGGTAGTCCAGTTGTAACCGGTCAAGCAAAGGAATGTTACCTTTTAGCCTGTTAGGATCTCTCCTATCGGTAGTCGGCCAATCTGGGCAGTTATATGAGGGACCACTAAGCACCAAGCATTTCTAGGTCAATTTCCGCCCCATATCTAATCCAGTCGTTAACCCCGGAGTCATTGGCTCCACATAGGAGGATCTTCTTTGTAGGCGGAGATTTTCCCCGTATCAGGTCGTAGATGTGTCTACTGCCTTGTTCGAGGAAGTCTGCCAAGAATTATGCAAATTTAGGAATCCGGGCCCCATGAAGTACTAAAAGCTGATCGTTGTTCGTGAAGAAAGTTTTACAATGTCTTGATGAATGCACGATGCTTAAATCCGTGAATTAGAGGCTGCCACCTCTGCTAGTAACTAAAAGTCATCCATATACACGGCTAGCTCTCCGACCGCTATCAATCTTATCGCTGATTGGCGGAGAAATGCATCCCCGTCCAATCCTCCCCCGCGCCCCGGATGGATCCTCGCATTGTGCATTAGCAACTCGATTTCTTCCATCTAATGTCGCACTACGATGCCGTGGGTACATGGCCATTTTTGCCGCCTGCCCCGTATTAAACTCTATCCATCTACCGTGCGGCCGAATGGAATTGACTGGATTTTGACATCGGTTGAACTCCGCGCGCCTTAACCTTGCCCCTAGGCTCAAAATTCGTTTTGGCTCATGCGACGCGGATGCTACCTTCTCTTCGATATCCGTGCTTCATTTCCCCCTTTTCGTGGGATCCCAACAATCCAAAATTAAAGCCGGTTTCGCGTGGCTTGGGGAAAGCTCTCCTGACCCCTAACACCTTGATACCGTGACACCGACATTGTTTGCAGCCTCGAACGTGCTTTCACATCTGGTTCAAGGCGGGTTTTATAATCTAAGTATGAACATACTTGTGTCTGCTATGAGATGATGCCCACAGCCCTGCCGCCCATGGCGACTCCGTTGCTTGACGAGACTGCTGTCGTCTCCTTGCCACACCCTGGCCCTCCTACAAACAACAATGCTGCTACTTCCACCCTCAACATTTCCACCTTAGTCGATCCTCCTGCGCCTCCGGCAACTCACACCAATGGAACCGCGGTGTCATCCTCCCGTCCTCCGACGAGTACCATTGTGATTGTGTTCGGACCGAATCAAGAATATATCGTGCATATGGTTGCGGAAGTGCTCGGGAAACCATGGACTACAGAGACATCTCTGGCCACACTGAACAGAGTCGGCGATGTAGTCGTGGTCGGAGTTTGGGCGCAAAACCTACACCGCAGTCTGGAAGGGTGTGACAGGTCGTCGCTCGTGATAATAAACACCCACTGCGTGGAAGATGGATCCGCGCCGGAGGATCAACTGTCAGAAATATGCGACTATGAATTTTTGCACTCGAAAAGCGCATTCCTGCGACGGGATCTAACCCGCTTTTTGTCGTTGATCTTGGGCCAGACGAGACCGCATGAGGACCTTCGTACCAAAACCCGGACGAATTTCATTTCGACGACCTTCCCGGACGTTCATGCCGCGCTACCGAATTTAGATATCCTTTCTGTTGGCTCGGATGCGGTGGAGATCCGTGTGGATTTGTTGATTGAGCCTGGAACTGGAGCGGGATCAGTGCCGAGTCTAAGATATGTGGGCCAGCAATTGATGTTGCTTCGACAGCATACGGAATTACCTATTATCTTTACTACGCGATGTACTAAGGAAAATGGAAAGTTTCCCATGGATGACCCCTGGCTGTTTTACAAGTATCTGCGACGAGCGATCCAGTGGGGTGTCGAGTATGTCGACGTGGAATTGTGGTTGCCAGAGGACATCAGACGACGACTGGCCCAAGTCAAAGGACATAGTACGATTATGTCGGCTTTCCACGATTTCTCAGGAAAGTGGAAGTGGACATCTCCCGAGGCTCAGCGCATCTTTGACGAGAGCACCAAGTACGCCGACATTGTCAAGATGATCGCCATGGTCTCGACAATGGAAGAAAATTACGAGCTGGAATACTTCCGTTCTACCATCAAAAACCGTGGTTCGGGTCCGTTATTATCAGCCGTGAACATGGGTCAACTGGGCCAACTCTCCCGTGCCCTGAACACCGTTTTCTCTCCAATCACCCACCCTCTTCTCCCAATGATCGCAGCTCCAGGCCAGTTAACGGCAGCTGAGATCAACGAGGCCCTCCACATCATGGGCCAACTGCCGAAACGCGACTTCTACGCTATTGGCTCATTCCGCGCGACGCCTCATTCGATGTTTATGGAGAAATGTCTCAACGAGCTGGGCCTGCCGCACTCATTTAATTCCATCGATCGCGGGCCCAAGGGCTCAATGGAGGCTGTGATTATGCAGCCCCAGTTCGGTGGTGCATCTGTTAACCCGCCAATTCCTAGCTCAACGACCTATATCCCAGCCATTAGTGACGCGGCGCGTGCCATCGGTCTCGTTGACACCATCGCCATGAACACAGTCGGAGATAGGCCATTAAACGGTGCAGCCCGTTTCATAGGCGAGAACACCGCTTGGAAAGGTATCCGCGCAACCTTAACACGAGACCACGTTCCCTCCGCATACCGCGGGCGAGCCGCAATCATTCTATCGGGATCCGAGACGGATGCATCGGCCGCTATCTTTGCACTCCGCAATCTCGAAGTCGGTCCCATCTATACCGTCGGATTTAAAGCCTCCGGTCCATTAGCCGCTGGCCTGGAACCTTTCACATCAATCCAATCTGTGAAATTGGTTGAGCAACCCTTTGTCATCGTCTCGGCCCTCCCACCAGAGAAATCCCTCTTGGTCCAGCCCCTTCTGCGCCACTATCGTAGTAACGGTCGATCGTCACCGACTACCACTCGCGGAAAGGTTTATCTAGATTTGACTACTGGGTCGAGGAAGGGTGATCCGCTTGCTGTAGCTACCAGTGCTGGGTGGACTGCGTATGGGTCGGAGGATGTTAGCGCTTGGACTACTGTTGAGACTTTGCGGTTGCTTGTTGGGCAGAACGTGCCGTTTGACTTTGTACGCATGGCGTCTGGGCGCTCTCTGTTCTAGTTCTAGGTAGCTTAGCACTGGTATTGGCGGGATTCTTTTGTTTTCGGTTATATACATTTATATTGCTGAAGGCGATGGCCATGCAATAGACGTTGGCCTCGATCTTGTTTGGAGTCAAGAGGAATGAACTCAAATCAACATTTGTAAGCTAAGCCTTTCCCAAGTGTGTTTGTTGTCTAAATGCTGTACATGTAGATATTCGTACACCGAGATCCTTGTCCACACATTGAATTCACGAACCTTCCATCTCCGATAAGCCTTATCAGCAAATCCGGGGTACCCCTCATTTCCTCCACGCGTACGCCCCTTGCACTTGTCGTATACGTATAGATGCAAGTCTTCAGTCATGCATTTACGCCCCGATCATGCCGTACGGGACCTCCGAACCCTACACGCCTTTATCCGCGCCCACCCCCTCGGCGTCCTGACCACTTCCCTCCCATCGGAGAATCACCCGACACTCCAATGCAGCCATATCCCATGGGTCCTGGATAGCAAACCACCAACCACCGCAGAGAGCAATGCACCTTTCCTTGGCACAATGCGGGGACATATTGCCCGAGTAAATCCTCAAAGCAAAGCCATAGTCGAAGCCGTCACGGAATCCCGTGCCCAAACCCCCGCAGAGGTTGAAAAGAAAGGCGGGGGCGATATACTTTCCGAAGAAGTTATGATTGTGTTTACCAGTCCAGTGGACCACTATATCACACCAAATTTCTACACGCAGGGCAAAGTGGGTGGAAAGGTTGCGCCGACGTGGAATTACGCTGCTGTGCAGGTCTACGGGCGCGCACATATCTACCATGACGCGAAAGATGAGGGTACGGGCGAGTTTCTGCATCAGCAGTTGACTGACCTTGCCCGATTAGGCGAGGAGGGGGTTATGGGATTCCAAGATGGTGATGAGGGAGGTAACCCGACCACTGGTGCACACACTCCGTGGAAAATAGCCGATGCACCCAAGGAGTACATCGCGACATTGAAAAAGAATATTGTCGGGATGCGGATTGAGATCACCCGGATCGAGGGCCGTTTCAAGGTTAGCCAGGAACGACCGGTGAATGATCGGAATGGAGTGGTGGAGGGGTTAGAAGGGATGCAGGGTCGAGCGCGAGAGATGGCCGAGTTTGTGAAGAGTGGCCGTGTGCTAGCTGAATGACGTGATTAGAAGCCTTAGAGCGTCGGGTACTTTGTATATACTTTTCTCAACTGGGATTGTGGCTGACACTACAGTTCATACGTGCAGATGTGCGGACCTTCGGTTGGATAAATGCTTGTTTCGCGAGTGCATTTCTGCAGGTCATAGAACCTCGGAATTTAGGAATTATAGAATAGAATTTTCGAATCGAGTTCTTTAGAGTCTGGCAACCTCCGTATCGAAAACAGTAGCCGTGGGCGTCGATCGGGACTCGTACATAAGGGGAATTACTTGCATGAAATCCCCCGCCGGGCGCTTAGACGTTCTTCATCCCCGATCTGGTCGTGCAGAATGAGGTTTTGGGTAAATCGCTTCGGATTATTTTGTGGGGAAAAGGGTCCTGAGGTATTTCAGGAATTAGGGATTCAGGGATTTAGGGAACACTGGAATAGGTTGGAGGTAGTTGTAGGATCGCGAGTGCCGAACCCTAACGGCGGGGAAGAACAAACGGGTAATGATCCCCGACGGTCTAGTACCGGGAAATAGATTAAGGACGCAACACAGGGTAGACTATGATGAAGAGAAATCAAGGACTAACTGAAACTAGCTATTAAGTGAAACAGATTCAAGGAAGTTAAATTACTTAGTTCCCCCTAGGTAAAAGTCAGGTGTGGAACGATAACTCCGGCGGCACTCTGTACCTTTGGCTGCCACCTTCTCCGCATTTTCCCTTTCTCCACAACCTTTCCTTCGCCCCTGTTCCCCCTCAATTAGGATTAGATTTTCGCTCATGTCTTCCATTTTATTCTTCTGTTAATCCTTCTTGTTCCATCCTCCCCAAATGTGACCATGTCTCGCCCTCAGGTCAGCATCGACCGGCTTATGCCTCGCCGCGCGACAATCGAACCGCGCGAGGCAATGAACTGCAAATCTTGTCGCAAACGAAAGGTGGGCGCAATCAACCATTTGAATCATCTTTAGTAGCCTCGGAATATTGGCTCACAAACCATCAAACCATCACAGATCAAATGCAATCGTCTGCGACCGAGCTGCGAGGCCTGCAAGGTCTTTCAAAGTGCCTGCGTTTATGGTGAGTCGTGGAGCCCCGGCCCGCCGATCCCAACCATCTGATCGTCTCTGCAGATGCCATCCCGAAAAAGCGCGGCCCCAAAACAGATGTGCTGGAAGCCCTACTGAAGCGCGTCGATGGTCTGGAAAAAAGACTCCAGGATGAAAAGAATCCCATCTCGCCTACCTCCCCGGATCAGAAACCGGAGGAGCTCCCGCTAAGCCAGCCAAATGGCCGTCGCAATACCATTGATGCCTCGGCTTTTTCGCCATATCCATCCGGGGAGTCGCGACCGTCAATATCCACGCCTATATCGCAGTCAGAGCAGTTCCCGAGGTCGGGAGGACATGGCTCGTCGCTGAACTTTGCCCAGCCACCCCCGACACAGAATGGCGTGTTATCTGAAATGCTGTTGGACACCTTCTTCGCACGATTACATGGAAAGCCATTTTTCATCTTGGATGAGCCTAGTACGCGACAGCGCCATCAATCAAATCAGCTCTCGCCACATTTGGCTATGGCTATCTCGGCCATGACGTTGAGGTATGCTGACTTGCCACTGTAGGACAACAGGACACTAATGCGCGTTAGGTATACACACACGATTGGTCAACCGGAACAATCCTTACACATGGGCTTGGATGCTGCTTTACAAGCGCGCCGGATGGTTGACGTGGATAACCCGACAGTCGAAGCCTTACAGACCCTACTTTTATTATCGCAGGCTTTCTTTGCCTACGGAATGGGAAAGAAAGCATATATGACATTTAGTACGTACTACCTTAACCTCGATGACCTGGCCTTGGCTAATGTCAAACAGCAAGCTGCGTGGCTATGGTAGTCGCTTTGGATTTGCTGCGCGAAGTGCCATCCAAAGCTAGCCTAACGTTACAGGAGCGTGAGATGAGACGCCGACTATTTTGGGCAGTATACCTTATGGATCGCTTTATTGTTTGTGGATCACGTCGTCCGTGCCTCATCTCAGACCACTCTATCGTCCTACGTCTACCTTCATGGTCTCCCCACGCGGCGGGTCTGAACATGGAAGGAGAATTGTTCCATGTTGGTCCCAACATTCAATACTCCGCAGACTCGCGCCGAAAGTCTCCGAGTGCTGCATCGTTGCTCATCGACATTACCCGAATTTTGGGGGTGACAAATCGGTATTTGGCTGCCGGTGGAGTCAAGGGGGACTCCCATTTCCCTTGGCATGCTCTTTCGAACCTGTCCAAGATTCGACAGGAGTTGGATATATGGGCCGCAGGGACACAGGATGTATTTGCATCGATTGAGACATTATTTGGTCATCGTGAGAGTACCACGCTACTACTCAGCAAGTTGATCTATCATCTGGTCCACTGTTTGCTGTATCGTCCATTCTTGCCCATCGACCTAGTGGAGCTTAGAGGGACGGGCCAACACCAATCGTGGCAGATCGAGGCTACAAACTTATGTTTCTCCCACTCGAACGCCATCGCCGAGCTCGTTGAATTGGGCCGCAATTCTCCACTTGTCGAGTGGCCTGCCTTTGTCGGATATTGTGTTTGTACGGCGGGCACTGTTCATGTTCACGGTGTGCACTATAAAGGCCGCGAGGGTGAGGTCTTCTCATCCAGTGCCGAGTTCCTGACTCGTGAGATGCACCAATTGACTTGGCTGCGCACTGCTTGGGCAGGAGTGCAACATCAACGCGAACTGCTTCAAACCATCTATACCTGTCACGCAGAGCTGGTGCGCAATCTTGCAAGCAGCCCAATGCGCTTTTCACCTGTGTTCCATCTCGAGGATTTCCTGGACAGATATCCGGGCTTGACAGTGGATGGAGCACATGTTCGATTACTGGATTCCGGGGACGAGCTACGCCCAAGGTAAATATACTCCCCACCCTTTGCCCCTGATCCACACTAACGGAATCAAAACTAGTGCCTCAAACCTGGTCGACCGTCAAGAACACTACTACCAACGCCCAATGGGACCCCCATCATTCCAAAATCCAGGATTCTACCCTGACAGACCAACACCCCCCTTCCAAAAAAATCAAACTCCCGACTCCGAAAGACATAACTCAATACCGAAAATCCAATCCCAACCAACGCTCTCCCCAGCCCTCCAATTCCACCAACCACAATCCCAATCCCATCCATCTCCCTCTCTCTCTTCGATTTTCCCAGTCCAATCAACAACAGACCTATCTCCGACAGACAACAGCCACCTCGCCCTCCCCTTCTCCCCATCAGCATTCGGTCTCTCACCGCCAGCCTTCCTAACGGATCCAAGCCTAATAGCCCCAACCCCACCTTCAAATCCACAATATGCTACCTTTCCCTTTGACGCACCAAATCCAAATATGAATGGTACTACGGCCTTGACGCCTGGTGCACAATCACAGACGTCTGGTTCGCATACTGCTGGTAGTGAAACGGGTAGTTTAGAGAAGGATCCGTTTCTTAGTTTGTTGGAGCAGTTGGCTGAGAATGAAAATTCGCAGGGTGGGCCCAGTGAGCTTGATTTCTTTTTGACTGGGGTCGAGCAGGAAGGGGATATTAATGAGGCTGAGAAGGAGTTGTGATGATAATATATATGTATGGGTTTATGGGGTGTGGGGTTGGTATGCTTATTTTGGATAAGCTTTGGTCTTAGTTTCTTGGTTGTATTGTGTAGGTTTGCGACTCGATACCCAAAATATTTCCATTCGTGTTCCGGTTTTTCGTTTCTGATACTACCAGCATTTGAGCAAACCGATGCAGGTTACCAGGCTGTCTACTTGAATGTGGATGTACAAAAGGAGTAAAGTGAAGTGTATCAAATGAATTCAAAGAAAAGCCTATTTACATATATTCAATCATATCAATAACAATTTTCATCACCAGGGCATTTACAGTCTCGACGAGCTAGCCGGGGCATTAGCCGCACAACAAGACGTAGGGAAAGCATTTTTAGACTGGGTATCAACACAGATAGCAGAAGGAGGAACCCAGAGACCAGGGTTCTTCTCGTGGAAATTGGAAGCACGGAGCATAATGCTCACAGGCTCAGCGGGCATAACAGGGAAATCCTCCGTGCGGGGGAAATGTGTCAAACCGAACTGCAGGTAGCAGACAATATCGGTGTTGTCGATGCTCTCGTTCCGGTTGGCCCAGTCCAGAATTGTGGAGTTGTGGGGGTGGTTCTCCTCGCCGGTAGACTGGCAGACGTAGTCACCAGCAGGGAAGAGCTCGTAGTCCTTGTAGGGAGTGACCCAGAGAGGTTTCCGGGCGAAGGCGGCACGGTTGTAGACTGTGCTGCCGGGCTTGGCGAGGAGGGGAGGGCAGGATGTGTTGACGATCTTGTAGCCGACGGGCTTCTTGGCGATCTTGTTCATGCGGTTGGGGTTGATGATGTCCCAAGTGCGGTTTGTCTCGTAGCAGTACTCTGCTGCGCCTTCAAGGGCTGTGCGGAGGGGAGTCTTCTTGGAGTAGAAGGCGTTTCCGTAAGGGTTCTCAGGGGAGCCGACGGCGGCCTCGGAGGAGACAGCGTCGTTTTGGACGACGGAGTTGTTGGGACCGTCGATTTCGGGGTCAATGCGGAGGGAGAAGATGTGCTGGTGGTTGTGGGCGGTGATTTGAGGAGCGACCTGTGTTCCGAAGGGAGCGGCCTCCTCGGTGGGGTGGAGGCAGTAGGTGTTCAGCATACCGGTGAGCTTCATCTCGAGCTTGTAGGTTCCGTCGAGGCTGAAGGTGTGGTAGAAGCCGTACTCGTAGTTTGCGGCTGTGATGATTTGAGAGACGATGAGCTTGCGGTCGCGGGCTGAGATGACCGTGCCATCACGGTAATCGGTGTGCTTGTATAGGAGGCCGTTGTCCTCCTCGTGGATGCAGATGGCGTTCTTGATCACGGCAGCTTCACCGTTGGCGGTAGACATGATTCCGTCCATGTAGTGGATGGCTCCCTTGCAATCACAACCCAGCTTGAGGGAGTTGGTCATGAGACCGGTACCGTACTCACCGACATCGAAGGCATGCTTCTTGTGGTGGGGTCCCTCGGGGGCACCGTAGGGAACGACCATCTCGACGACACTGATACGGTTGAAGAGGGTGCGCTCGCGGTCCTCGTACATGTCGTGGGTGCGGACGTCGGAAATGACGATACCCTCGCGGTAGTTGAAACCGATGTGCATCTTGAAGTTGGCCCAGGAGAGCTCATTGCCGCGGACCTTGAAGGAGACACCCTGGGGCTGGGTGATGTCGATGGGCTTGAGGCGGTCGTGGTTGTACTTGTCGCCAATGTACTGGGGAAGGTAGTTGTGCTCGGTGAGAGGCACAGCGGTGCGCTCACCGTTCACCAAGCGAATGTCAACACTGAGGACCTCCTCCTTCTCGGTATCGGCCACAATTGTGAAGTCCAATGGGTGGGCATATTGGTTGTCGAACTCGGAAGTGCGGTAGTAGGCGAGACCCTGCTGCAGACGGTGCTCGAAGCCCCAGCGCTCATCAATACCGATGGCCCAGGCATCAATGAAGACCTTGGACATATCGGTGATACCGAGATCGGCACAGGCACGGATGACACGGGAATCCTTGCGAGAGATGCGCTCCATAATATCCAAATCCTCGAGGGTAAGAGTGGGCATGACCTCAGTCACCTGCTTCCACAACTCGACCTTGCCAGTGACAAGGTTGACGACAACCTCAGCGACGGCGCTGGTCTCGCGCTCAAGGATAATGGCGAAACAGCGGCGATCGGGGGCAGGGATCTTTCCAGCGCGGAAGGCCTGGTACTCGGCCTTGGGGGGCTCGCGCAATGTGAGGCAGTTGAACTTAATGGTCTTGGGGCTGGCATATTCGCGGATGAGCTTGGCAGCCAAAGGAATTTCCTTAATGGAAAGCTGGTCTATTCCACAATTCAAATCAGTGTCTGTTGAGGGGTGTGGTGCAGATTATGCACAAGGGACGTTTTTTTTTTGGGCTTATCGCACGTACCTAGCGGGTGGGGAGTTCCCTGCGGGAGCATAGCATGTGCAGCAACACTGTCATAGTCTCCCTCCCGGAAGATGGTATAACCCGGGATGGAAGTGGTATCGGGGGCAGACGCCATTGTGAAAATTGGGTATCAAAGATTGACTTGATGAAGCTGTAACAAAATCTCAAAGGCCTTCCTTCCATGGCCTTATATAGTCTGTATCCGCTTTTATCAGATGGATAGAAATCCGCATGGACATTCCCAATTAGGCAGTCAGGACGTTGTCTGGCCAGATAGCGTGGATCACGACTCTACCCGACTAAGCGCCTCCCGTGGTTTGCTCTTTCTGGCGAAAGCCTGGAGAAGGTCTACGGGATCCCGTTGAACGTGCATTGGCCTGTAATATCTTTTGCGTAAAGTCTTTTACCAACGGGAAATTGCACCAATCAGACCACCGGCTTATCCCCCGGACTTGAGTGCAGCCCCCGAACAAGCATCCTGGCACATCTACCTTCACCGATCGGGTAATTCAAACCCAGAGACTTTGGTCTTTTCTCTCCGACACGTGTGTCATGTGTCATGACTTTCAAGCTTATCCTTATCGCGGGGAACCACGTGAGAAGTCGTTGCCACTTGCTTATGTACTACCTTTTACCATTGACAGTACCACTTTCGTATATAAGAATGAGTGTTACACATTAGTATAGCATGAAATGTTAAACAAGATAAGCTCGTCGTGCATATTTGCCACCTTTAGAATAATTCATTAGTGTGTCTCTCTATCGGAGATAAATGATAAGTCCTGAGGCAAGGCGTGGACCTACCGGTTTAGGGTTAGCGCCCCGAATACCATGATTTGCATCTCTTACATAACCCGAGATCAATCTGGAGTGTGGGGCGACTACATTGCTTCTCCAGAGTTTAAGCGGGACTCATCCGCCTTCCTCTTCCGGGAGGTCGACCCGAAAGTGTTATCTAAATCATGCACGATAACGTAGCTCCAGCTCCGCTTGGACTTAAGTCTCCGGCTGTACTTGACTTAATACTCGTTGCTTTCGACTCTCCCATATTGGTAAACAGCCATTCTACACCATGTCTTCATTAACAGTTCAATGTACCGCACCTAATGGTCGCACCTGGACCCAGCCCATTGGGCTGTTCATCAACAACAAATGGGTGAAGTCCTCGGATGGCGCTAAGATTGCCAGCATCAACCCGGCGTGAGTGGTCTTGAGCTCAATCGTACTGCCCTAATTGTGGGACTTAACTGACATTCTTTCCATAGCACCGCCAAAGAGATCACATCCGTGTATGCCGGTACAGCTGAGGATATTAACACCGCTGTTAAGGCTGCGCGTGCCGCGCTGAACCACCCCAGCTGGCGGGACATGTCGGGTCTCGACCGTGGCAAGTTGATGAACCGTCTCGCTCAGCTCATCGATGATAACAAGGAGACTCTGGCTACTATTGAGACTTGCGACAACGGAAAGCCATACCAAGTTTCCTTGAACGATGATATGACCGAGACCGCTGAGACTATCCGCTACTACGGTGGATATGCGGATAAGGTGTTTGGACAGGTTATTGATACCACCGTGGACAAGTTCGCCTACACCGTGCGCCAGCCAGTGGGTGTTTGTGGCCAGATCATCCCGTGAGTTCTCATTTCGAGGTATCCGAAGTCAATCCCTAACGAAATCTTTCTAGATGGAACTTCCCTCTCTCCATGGCAGCTTGGAAGCTCGGTCCTGCTCTGGCCTGTGGTAACGCCGTTATCCTGAAGCCCGCTGAACAGACCCCCTTGTCCATCCTCTTCCTCGCCAACCTCATCGTCGAAGCCGGATTTCCTCCCGGCGTCGTGAACATCGTCAACGGCCACGGTGCTGTTGCTGGTGCCACTCTCGCCTCGCACATGGACGTGGACAAGATCGCCTTCACCGGAAGCACCGCCACCGCCAAGCAGATCATGAAGATGGCCAGCGTGAACCTGAAGAACATCACCCTCGAAACCGGCGGAAAGAGCCCTCTTATCGTCTTCAACGACGCAGACCTCGAGCAGGCAGTGGAATGGGCACACATCGGTATCATGTACAACCAGGGCCAGATCTGCACAGCTACATCTCGCATCCTAGTCCAAGATGAGATCTATGACCGCTTTATCGCAGCCTTCAAGGCCCAGATCAAGAAGGTCTCTAAGGTCGGCGATCCATTTGACGAGAACACTTTCCAGGGTCCTCAGGTGACCCAGGCTCAGTATGAGCGTATCCTTTCCTACGTCGACGTGGGTACCTCTGAAAAGGCTACCCTTGAGTGCGGTGGTAAGCCCTTCAAGGGCCCTGGTGCTGGCAATGGCTTCTTCATCGAGCCTACCGTTTTCACCAATGTTAAGCCGAACATGCGCATTTACCAGGAAGAAGTCTTTGGTCCTTTCGCGTGTATTTGCCGCTTCAAGACTGAGGAAGATGCTGTTCAGATGGCTAATGATTCCACATATGGCCTTGGAAGCGCTGTTTTTACTACCAACCTTACCCGTGCCCACCGTGTTGCCAAGCGCATTGAAGCTGGTATGGTCTGGATCAACTCTAGCCAGGACAGTGATTGGCGTATTCCTTTCGGTGGTGTTAAGCAGAGTGGTATTGGTCGGGAACTGGGTGAGGCTGGATTGGATGCTTACTCGAGCTTGAAGGCTGTTCATGTTAACATGAAGTCTAAGCTTTAAGCTATATGTTTGTCATTTTCGGGTTACGTTACTTTTGTATATAAGAATCAGATTGGACGACTTAGATTAAAATATCTCAGAATGGAAAAGCGTGAGTTTTTTGACACTGTTATGCCATTTTCACTCCAGTTTTAGTCTTTACCATCTTCGGGCATCTGCACGCATATGCGAAACGCTTTCAGGTTTTCCTGTTTGAATAATTTCAAATGGTCGCACTACGCGAGACGGTGGGATAAAACAGATTCAGTTCCTGCCCCTTGTCAACTGCAAGTGTGTATGTTGCGGTGGTGGCCTGTTCGCCAGAGAGACCAGGACTGCCCATAATAATGAGGGATCATGAATTAGTAATACAGAATGGACCACCTTCTATCAAGACCAAGGTTTAGCCACTGGGGTTGTAGAACCTTGGGAAAGATGGACTAAATTGTGTATCCCTACCTACATGCGCGGATATATATCATTCCTACTGAGTCACCTAGAACACTAAACTTACTACTCTAAGTAGCTAATTATTCATTTAATTAAGCTACTTACTAGACAGGCATAGATATACTAAATATATAAACAAGATTAAGCAAGAGCAAAAATTTGGTACCTCTCACCTGGGTTTTCCTTCTTCCCCAGGGCCTGCCCTCTCCTTTCTACTCTGTAAATACTTAGTTCTTGTCTTCAACACGAAGGTTTTTAGAAAGAAGTCAAGCAGTTCTATGCTAGCGATTCCAAAAGTGAATCTGCATTTTCTTAGTGGCATGCCTATGGGCAGGAAATTCCTGTTCAAACCGTCATATTTTGCATATCTTCCCAACAGCTTAGGTCCTGAGGAACTGGTATATCTCTTTGGTGCCCAGGACAAAGAATCTATCAAAAAGGAAAATTTTGACCCATCTACACCGGCCAATGTTGAAGATATTGGCACAGTGTGTTCCATTTTTGAGATCCCTGATAACTTTCTTGATTGAGTTTCAAACACTCACATAACAGGAAATTGTTCTTCTAGATATGTGAAGTCGAAATATGAGTGATATCATCTAGTAAATATGCAGATGGTCTTGGAATCATGGAAATAAATAAAGCCAATTTGATTTTCATGTCTGACTGGAATATCAGGAAGTCTCGACGAAGAAGTGATTACGTCAAGCCTACTGAATCTTGACTCACGTTCAATGAGGAATCGGGGTTTACGCCTACACAAGAAAGCTGTGGAATTCTACACATAACATTCGTATGTTCGGTAGATATCAATGTCATTATCGCTTGCATTTCAAGTCAAGCAAGGATTGCGGATCCCCTAGACAAATTATCCGTATATTGACCATTTAGTCCTTGTACTCCTTCAAACAGTCTGGTATCTCGTTCCACATTCGCCAGAGATGCAGGAAGCTCAAAATGTCTGTTAATGTCGATATAGTCTTCTGGGCTCTGTCCAAAAGGCACATTAAGTATATTGACTGTTGCTCGTTCGGCAACAGGTTGTTCCAGTGGTTGGGCTATACATGGGGTTAGCACGGTATAAAGTTTGGACGGAACCAAGCAGATCCCAAAATCATGATCAAATTCTTAATTCATACTGCATACCTTGAGTGAAACTTTGTTCAAGAAGTAGAACGGGTTGGCCCTGCTGGTCTCCGCCATCTCTTTGTTCGCATTTTCCTCTCAGATCCCACCTTCGTTTCGAATAAGGTGGTATAGATTCTTTGATCGGTTTTTCGGCACCGTTATATCGACCTCGAGACGCGATACCAGCGCCCCAGCGAAGTCTAATCTCGTATCCTTCGCATGCTTGTCCGCGCTTGGAGCACTGCTGACAACCGGGTCTCGCTTCGTCACAGTGGATCCGTTTCCGTTTGCACGTCCAGCAGCCTTTATGAGACCGGTGACGAGGATCTTTCTTTTTAAGTTTTGAGATAGGCATGGTGAATATAGGGGAAGTTTAAAGCGACGGGGGACGTTGGGCCTCATTCTAATCATATATGGCGATGTAGCTATAGAACAGGTTCCATGGCGGTCTCTGATTGGCCAGATAATATTCTCAACTCTCGATAAATAGCGCGATCTAATCCGTTATAGGGAGGACTTTCCGGTCCACTTGCAAAACCAAGCTTCATATTGGGCCTTGAATTCCCTCGCAGTGATTTAAACTGTCACGTTCTTTGCCATCGGCCCGAGTCGTTCAAGTCGGTTTTCTTGATTTCTGGCCTGAGGCCTCCGCGCCGGTTTTACCCGTTTTGGGCAGGTACACCCAAGCGCTATCGGCCCTGGAGCCCCACGCTGATATTGACCCTGTTCATTCGGCTTTCTCTGACATCGGCAAATTGGGTAAACCCTTCAGCCAACGGCTAGGCTTCCTTATTTAAACTACCCGTGGGGAATGTCGGCAGTCCCCCGACCTAGGACCATATTCTGCAACCATGTGTCATAAAATCGGATACCAGAATTGTCGTGCTCCGCAAACCAAGCATTCTCAACCCCGAGATCTGGACCGTGAGAGGACCAATTTGCCGAATGACTTCATATTCGAACATTCACCGCCATAAATCCGGATCTACCTTCCGAACCAGGAATATTCAGCCTACGCCAACATCCATGGCGCAGATCACCATGGTGGAAACCCAGCAGAAGACGCGAGATGTTTCGCCTAACCCCCAGACCACTTCCAAGGTCTGGTAGTTAAAGTGGGCCAGCTTCGGTGTACCCACGAGGACAATGCCCTCCAGAGCCCACACTCGAAACGCGTGGGGTTCCCCAGAAAATGACAAAAAAACCCCGGGTCGCTATGGGGTCGAACATTTCGGTCCATTGAATTCATACCAAGCATCACACCACCCAACTTCACGACCATCATACGATATTTGCGGAGAATGAGCCCACGCGCATCTTACATTCGCCGCCTTGCATAAATATGGACTTGGAAACCGATACCACTCTCAAGCCCACCGATCAGGATACCCAAGATGCATTTGACCTGGCGGAATTTGGGCACGGCCAGAGCCTTGAGCGGAAGTTCAACATCTGGAGCATGCTAGCGTTGGCTTTCTGCGTTCTGGGAACATGGTCAACATTTGCACAGGATCTTTCGGATGGTCTCATCAATGGTGGCCCAATCTCGATTCTATGGGGTCTGGCCCTGGTGGCATTCTGCAACACATGCGTGGCTCTTTCGTTGGGAGAGATTTGCAGTAGTATGCCCACCGCACTAGGTCAGGCATACTGGATCTATCGCCTCTGGGATACTCCTTTGGGGAGATTCGTATCCTATATCTGTGCCTGGATTAATGTCTTTGGCTGGTGGACTCTTGCTGCCTCGCAGGTTGCTTTCATGACCAATTTCATCCTGGGGATGAAGGTCATGTTCGATGTTGAGTGGACTGGTGCATCGACAGGATGGTTGAACTTCGTTGTTTATATCGGCTGCGTTTTTGCGCTCACATTAATCAATGTTGTTGGCTGTCGACGAGAAAAATTCCTACCCTGGTTGAACAACTTTGTTGGAGTGTGGTTCTTCGGACTATTCTTTGTCTTTTCCCTTGCTCTCCTGATCTCTGTTGGAACCAAATCAGATCTGTCTTACCAACCAGCATCATTCGTCTTTGGCAAATGGATCAACCAGACTGGGTGGCCGGATGGAGTAGTCTGGTTCATTGGCTTAGTGCAAGCCGCCTACGGTCTCACAGCTTTCGATGCCGTGATTCACATGGTAGAGGAAATCCCTGCGCCTCGCAAGAATGCCCCGAAAGTGATATACTTCGCAGTCCTCTCGGGCGCAGTCAGCGGTTTTATCCTGATGATGGTGTGTCTTTTCTGCATTCAAAAGGTGAAAACCGTCATCGACTCTCCGAGCGGCCTTCCATTCATGGAACTTGTTCAAGAAACTGTCGGAAGAGATGGAGCGGCTGTGCTCATCGCTCTCTTTATCTGCAACGGTCTCGGTCAGGGTATCAGTATCCTGACCACCGCATCTCGCCTGACCTGGGGCTTCGCTCGCGACGGCGGACTGCCATTTAGTCGATACCTATCCCACGTCGACCCAACCTGGAAAGCCCCAGTTCGAGCTCTGTGGTTCCAAGGTGGTCTAATCGCCCTGGTCGGCGTGCTGTTTCTCTTCGCCGAGACAGTCCTAAACGCCATCCTTAGTGTCAGCACCATCGCACTGACAATCTCATATGGTCTTCCTATTGCGGTCGTCCTCATGGTGGGACGTGACAAACTTCCCCCAGGAGGACAATTTCACTTGGGAAGATTTGGTACCCCTGCCAACTGGGTTAGCATCATCTACTGTTGCATTACCACTGTGTTTTTCTTCTTCCCAAGCTTGCCAAATCCGTCTGGGGGCGAGATGAACTACGCAATTGGCGTCTTTGGTGTCATGCTTGTCATTTCGATTTCCTTCTGGTTCATCCAAGGAAGTCGTACTTATCTCAATACGGAGGAATCGTTGACGCATGTTATTCAAGCGCAGGAGGCAATCGCCATGGAGGTCCCCGCGTCTGCGCCAACGAAGAAGGATTGATTAGGGTATATACTTGGGGTGGAAATGCCTCGTGGACCATGATGGAAGATGTTATACAACCTTAAAAGCGACAGGTTCCTGGTTAGAACATTTGGTAAAATTGTGTTGAGAAAGGATTGATTGTACATAGATCCATGGATGAATCAAATGGACCAAATATTCAAACTTATTTAGTACCTTCTTAGGCTACCTGGGGTGTGCTGGGGCTGCTGGAGTCTGCCTGGGCGTAACTTGATTTATCTGGAAGCAAATTGGGCATGCTGAGGCCATTTATAGGGTTGCGATGCGATACCCGTGCTTATCTAGGTCTACACTCGCCCTGTCTATTGCGCACTTACTCTCGAACGCTTCCTAGTCTCCCTCTTGAGCGGTAGCTCGCTGGTAGTCTGACTTTTCGCGGAGAAAGATGTATCGTTTCCTCGCTAATTATGCCCATTTCGGTATTTCTACCTGAATATCTCGACTCGAAGCATTCTTCTTCATTCTTCCCCCCATTACACATTCTATACCAATCAAGTCAATCGAAATAGCGGCTTTTCATTCCGCTTCGCCCGCCATCGATTCGTAGACTTCGCTAAATCATAACAATTTTTAATAACCCAGCCCCAAGAATGAGCAAAAGCCTCCGTAACCTCCCAACCTGCCGGATCCCAAGGATCACTCCAAACAATAATACCTCCTTTGCCCGATCGCGTGCTCCCACTGCCCTTCATATCCAGACAAAGCTGCGTTTCTTCCTCGAATTCTCCAGCCAGAATCAAATTATCTCTCATTTGGGGAACAGGTATTAGGTCCAACCACGGGTGATGTGGAATAGAGCGCTGTATTGTAGTAGGTTGGAGATATCTTGGAAGACTGTGAAGAGTGTCATCTTGCCAGGGGCCAATGGTGTTGAATGGCGAGTTTGCGTCGTCGTGAAACTGATCGGATTTGAGGCCCAAGATCCTTATATTTTCGAGTATGGCTCTGGTGAAATTGAGTTGGAACAGGTCGAGTAACAGATCGGTTCGCGGGGAGCCCATAGAGTAGTATTGAAGAGCTATTTTTTCTATTCGGGCCATTCTTGCTTTGTTCGCTAGGGTATTGATGTCCAGTAGGTGCACGTCGTCAATCTCCGCGAGAGTAGTGATCTCAGTGATCGTAGGAATTGCTAGTGTATGGTTCGTAGCTTGAGGGGCAATGACAAGTGCAGTTGGTTTATCTTGTATATCAAAAGGGACTGCATTGCGTTTCTTTGTCATTTTTTCTCCGGTATGTTCTAGCTGGTTTTTATTGTGAAGACCTAGTTGTGGAGACTGTTAATACTCCATTAACTGGTAGGCGGCGAATAGCAGACTTACGTCGAGCCCTTTGGTTCAAGCGATTTTGAAGCCTCCGGCGTGTCTTTTGGTCGGTAATACCCGACCAATCCTCGTCTGGCCATCCACTGCGGCGCTGCAATGACAACCTTATAGCGATGTGCCGATCAGATAGGCCTGCTACCGATGGATCCATGCTTGTGGTATGATGAGAAGACTTAAGCCATTGAGTATTCAGTAGGTATGCAATCTCATGACAGAAGGGTCTGGATGTCAGTAGATTGTTCAGTAGATAGTGGGTTTCGCTAGCGCGCACCGGAATTGAAGGAAGTTGAGGTAGGCAAATCCAAAATACTTGGTTATTAAGTTCCGGTCTAAGTTTGAGAGCCAAGCTACCGCACAGCAAAATTATGTCCAAGGGTTCGTGACCCACCATGTCATCAACTTGCATGACCCTAATTGTGTTGCAGTCAGGTTCCTAGTGGGTCTTGGGCTAGTTAGACAACGTTCACGGTCTTTGCTATATGGCATATCTCCGTTGCTGATCAAGCAGGTACTACAATCTGGGAGTAAAGGACGTTTTCCAAGGCAGGAGTGCGGACTTTGGAGCTTATCTTCTTATATCCGAAATATACCATTCGCCGGTCTTGGACTATAGTGGATCTTATTGTGATGGATTGACCAATCATATGTATTTTGTCATCATCTCGCATTGATCTACATGGAAACTTGGGAACACGGGCTGCTCCAAAGTTCAAAACCGCCAAAGATGTAGTCACACTGGCATTATAAATTGAGGCCTCTTTTCTAGATGAGTTTCAACATTTCAAGATTCAAAATCCCGATCTTACCTTCATTGCCTACCTCCCAGACACTTTGATCAAAATGAAATACGTGCAACTCGGAAGCAGTGGTCTTCGTATCGCCCCAATTGGCGTGGGATGCATGAGCTTTGGAAATCCCAAAGGCCGTTTCAAGTGGTCACTCGCGGAGGAAGAAGCATTACCGGTGCTCAATTATTGCTACGAATCTGGCCTCAACTTCTTCGACACAGCAAACGCCTATTCCAATGGGTTGTCTGAAGAGATTCTCGGCAAGGCAATCAAGAAATATGGATGGCGCCGTGAAAATATTGTCGTCGCAACTAAGCTCTGGGCACCTGTCGGCCGCGGCTCCGAACAGCCAATGGCCATGACCAATGATGAAAAAGATAATGGCGGCTACGTGAACCAATACGGATTGAGTCGGAAGCACATCTTCGAGAGTGTCGACGCTAGCCTGCAGAGACTTGATTTACCCTACGTCGATCTGCTGCAGATCCATCGCTTCGACCCCAGAACTTCCGTGAAGGAAACAATGGAGGCGCTTCATGACATCGTCAAGTCCGGGAAAGTGCGCTACATCGGCGCTTCATCGATGTGGGCTCATCAGCTACTCGAGTATCAATACACCGCCCGCATCCACGGCTGGACGGAGTTCATCTCAATGCAGAACCTCCACAACGCAATGTACCGAGAGGAGGAGAGAGAGATGTATCCTGCGTGTGCAAAATTCGGAATTGGTGGGATTCCTTGGAGCCCCGTTGCTATGGGCTTCTTGGCTCGACCTTGGCGTGACTTCTCAAAGACCACGCGTGGAGAGGGCCAGGGCTCTGGTTTCCTGGGACAGCCAGCTACTGAGACGGACAAGAAGATCAACGAGCAAATTGAGAAGATTGCTGAGCAACGTGGCGTGTCGATGGCGACCGTGGCAATTGCTTGGTCTCTCTCGAAGCCATTTATCACGGCACCAATCCTAGGAATGAGCAAGAAGGAGAGAGTCGATGAGGCAGTTAAGGCTATCTCTTTCGATCTCAGTCCAGCTGAGTTAGAAAGTGTCGATCACCTGTATGAGCCCAAGAAGGTGCTTGGCCATCAATAAGTGATCTGTACATCAAGAGTTGTCCCTTGAGACGTTACTTTCGATACTTCCGACCCGTTAACTGTAGAAAACTTCTTTGAACTTCCGAAAGCCAAAGACCTGCCATATTGAGTGCGGAGGTACAACGTAAACGTATGCCATAGAACTACGTACTGTACTGTATTTGGTATGTCCTAGTAGTCGATGGTTTCATTTCCTATATTTTAGCTCATCTTCAAGAATTCCAATCAACTTCGATTCCAGAACACCATGCAGATTCTAAAAGCTTCAGCACAAATATCTTTCCTTGCCTTATATCCTAGATTTTCCCGTTCTTCTGCACAGCAAAATTGATTTTCCTCATGTTGATTGGCCAAGCCAGTTTCGAGAATCAATGCATACAAAAGCTCGACTGACAATCCAAGCCACCATCACATGGGCATAGATCAGTATATACGCCAAGAACCGGTCCAGTAGCTTCGATACGTCGCGTTAGCCAAACTTTCCAACATCAAGAGGGCTGGGTTCTTGGCTGCTCTCCGTCACGGTTGCTCTACTTACAGCAACGTTCACCCAATTGTGACAATGGTTTACACGATTTATTTCCGTCTGTATCAACACAGCATTCACCAGATTCACACTGATTGCCTATAGATAGGAGCGAGCGCAATATTGTCAGCTTATATTTCTTGACTGTACAAGATTTGGTAAATTACATACCTGGTCCACACTCGATTGCAGATCCCAGAGCGAACATCGCCAAGAAAGAGATAATAAAGATATTCATGATGAACGAGGAATAAGGCGTTAAAACAAGCAAGGTTGCGTGTCTGAAGATTTACTGATCTTTTTGAGGGAACGGGGATTCTCACCTTTTCATGTCTGGCATTCTTGCCGATCCTCTCCCCCCTTGACGACATTAAATGTCTGACCTCGACGCCAAGGAATGGGATCTATCCAATATGTTCAAGTAAATTGGATAATGGGGCGCCATAGTGGATTCAGGGCGCAATTTGAGTTCGATTCCTATGGTTTGTTTTCTACGCCCGAGATATATCATATGCGCGCATCGAAATATTCACGTGTCTTGACGAGGCATTCATTTTATCTTTGTAGGGAAATCTAGATTAGGTGAAGCTGGTAGCGTACATTATAAGTGGCTTTATTGACTATGTAAGATACGTCTTCTATCCTAGGAACCTGGGAATTGACAGGTATACCATATCTCGACTAGCGTGACTTACTTCAAGATTCGGGAATCAAAGTCGAAGACTCTGGAGGTTAATTGTTCACTGGGAGGATTGGGCATAGGCGTTAGCATATCTTTCAAACGTTGTTCTTTCCAAAAAGTGGAATCGGGGTGGAGGTAAAGGTTCAAGATGTACCCATTAATCCGATCCAAGAGGTTCTTGAGCTAGGGGTACGAGGAGTGAAATACCTTCAATAGTAAATGGGCGTACTCTAGCATCTTCTCGATAGTTGCCGAGATTTTGTTTTTGAGGCGAAGCAATGGACCCTGCATTCTTGGTAGTTTCGGGCCCCCGCACGCTCTTTGTCTCGAACTTTATGGCATCGTGAAACTGTAACGAGCTCAGATTCTCTAGCACTCTGAGGAGCTTTTGTGCAATTTGAATGGGAGAGGTCCCTTTCAGAAGTGACGTTTGAGGATCTGGTGCGTCTTGAGCCTTGTTTGCGTCGTGGAACTCCATTGCCTCAAGGTTTTGCAGAGGATTGGGACGTTCTGCGTTTGGGGAAAGCCTTGTTCGCCGAGCAGGCCAATTAGATGAGTCAACCTCTAAATCTGGGCTCTTTCGCTTCTCGCTGGAAGTTTGAGTCACGTTATCGATATCTGACTCTTGATGCTCATGTTCATTGGTTGTGGCTGCGGATGGTGCAATGGAGCCACTAATACGACTGCTGCCAGACCGACTGCGAGCTGGCGAAGAAGCATAGCGAGATGACTTGACTGAATTGGGCCGTGATACATTTGGCTCTCGCGAACGATCTAATATACCACCTATGGGAAAGTCACGGTCAGTACATATTCATCATATGTTTTTCTGAGGTTGGTAAGTGGCAATATACCTTCAGTATTGGCATTTCGAATGATAACAGTGAAGCTAGGCCGCGATATTCCGAGTCGGCCTTCGTCAGCGATGGTGATTCCGAGCCCGGAACTGTAGTACGCATCAATCGACCTCTTAATGACAGTGATCATGCTCAACTCAGTGAGTCTACTTTCGTCGCCTTGTGGAGTGTGGATTTCAGCAAGGTCAATATCCTTTAGAGCTGAAGGACTCCACCAAATGTGGTCTGCACCCAGTCTAAAGAGGCCTTCGTTCATGAGGTGTTTTTGGAACGCCTTGATATGTAGTCGAGATATATCAATCCAATCTCCATTCACACTTTGACATCGAGGGTCGGTCCGGTCTTTCAAGAGATCATTGAGCCTGATCGACAGTGGTCGGTATTTGTCATCAGCTCGGATGATATCGACATTTGCATTAGGGACCACCGAAGATTTGTTGAAGTCAAATTCTTCTGCCTTATCGGGCGAATCTTCTTGCTCCTCATCGGAGCCTCGCTCGGAGTCACTGTCGGCTTCATCTCCAGACTCCCCGATTGGCTCGTCTTCCTGCTCGTTGTTAGGTCCCGTTACAGAGTCATCATCATCATCCTGGGGCGCACCATCATCTTGCTCATCAGATCCTTTTGAGAATCATTGTCGGCTTCTTCCGCAAACACATCCTTCATTTCTTGGTCGTTGATAGTCTTTGGGCTGGTCTTAACTCTCTCCGCAGATACGTCCTTCATCATCTCATCGTTGACACTTGCGCGATATGTCTTGAATTTCTCTGTAGATGAGACATCCTTCATCTCTTGGTCGTTCATAAATTCTGGGCAGGTCTTGGCTTTCTCTGCAGATGAAGCATTCCTCATCTCGTCGTCGCTAATACTTGCGGGACGTCCCTTATAATTTCCTGCAGATGAGACATCCTTCATCTCTTCATCGTAGATATTTTCAGACTCATTATCATCTTCATATTCAGATGCATCCTCCATCTCTTCTTCGCGGATACTTTTGGGATTGGTCTTAGTTCTCTTTGAAGACGATGTATATCTGGTCCTCTTATAAGTCTCTTCACCCTCATCCTGAGTTGTCTCTTCTAGCTCGCTGTGGGATCTCTTCCTACCATGATCTTCAGGTTCTTCGTCATATTCGTCTTCTTCGCTGTCTATGGATGCGCGTCGAGATCCAATGTCGGATTCAATATCGGGGTCATTTTCAGGATGCGATCCCGACTCATCTCCTGACTGATCACCAGGCTCTTCACTAGATCTATCGTGTTCTGATCCGTTATCGGATACAGCCTCAGACTCGACCTCGGACTCAGCTTCAGATTCCTCTTCGGAAGCATGGCCATCGTAGTCTCCTGGAAAATCGTCGGGTTCACTAGATCTATTGTCTTCCGACCCAGCCTCAGATCCATCATCGGGCACATTTGAAGACCCGTCTTCAGCCTCAGACTCGGCTACAGGCTCTTCGCTAGATCTAGATTTATCACCTTCAGATCCATTCTCGGATCCATCCTCGGAGTCGGCGGCAGGCTCATCTTCGGATCCAATCTCAGACCCATCTTCAGATGCGGCTTCAGACCTAGCTTCAGACTCCCTAGCTCCAGGAAAATCATATCCACGATTGTTGTCAGATTCTTCACTAGATCTATTCTCTTCAGATCCAGTCTCAGATCCATTATCAGGCACTTCTGAAGACCCGTCTTCAGCCTCAGACCTGGCTGCAGGATCATCTTCGGATGCAGTCTCAGACCCATCTGCGGATCCAGCTTCAGAGCTAGCTTCAGATTCCTCATCAGGAATATGGTCCCCGGTATCATCTTCAGACTCCTCAACAGCACTACCACCATTTGATCCTCTTTCTGACCCGTCTTCTTGTTCGCTTTCAGGTGATTCATCTATCTCATCGTCATCCACCGGGACATCTAAATCATCCTCGGATTGCGGTTCTGCCTCCCCATCCCGCTCTTCCTCGGACTCCTCGCCGGACATAGCTGGCGAGGCATCGCGAGATGGCTGTTGATCTATATCCAAAGAGTCTTCAGATTCGTCGTCGGATCCTTGGTCTGGCTCTTGGCCTGGCTCTTCTTCTGATTCGGCCTTTGATTGATCTGGCGAGATATCGCGAGATGATGGTTGTTCAGATTCGTTGTCAGATCCCTCTTCTGACTCCTTGTCCGAATGCTCAGATTCCGCCTCTGGTATTTCCGAGCCAGTGCGAGAGGGTGGCTTGTCATCTACATCCACCGAGTCTTCGGTCCCATCATCAGATCTCTGGTCTTGATCTGACTCCTGTTCTGGTTCATCTACTTCTGTCGAGGCACCATGAGACTCCCGTCCGTCAGCCTCATTCCTGGCATCTTCATCTTCAGATGCATCATCAGATTCGCGCTCTTCCGGCTCTTTATCTTCTTCCTCACCATCGGGGTCATCAGATGTTTGATCATAATCTCGGGGTGCTTCGTCGTATATAATCGAACGCTGGGATTGCTTGTCGGATTCGGATTCAAAGTCCGGCTCTGGCTCTTGCTCTGACCCCCCGTCTGAGCGGGGCGGCACCACTGGTCCCGAAGCGTCAAATCCAGCTTCAGAGTCGTAGTCAGGCTGATAGTCGTCTTCGTCCTCGTCCACAACAGGTGAATCTTCCTTAGAAGCAGAAGAAGGTGGAGGATATGGCGTTCGTTCATGAGAAGTCGTAATCTCCGACTCTTGAGCCTCGCTTTCAGATCCGTCACTCAGCTCGCTTGAGAATCCCTCCTCTGATTCTTCATCCCGCGACTGCTCTGAGGGCTCATAGTTCCTTTTGCCCCATTCACTTGAAGCCTCAGGTGACTCAATGAATTCGGATGAAGGGTGGCGATCGCGGCGAGGAATAGGAGGGACCGTAGGTATAACACTTGGCCTGGGCTTGCGTGGAGGCAGAGCACGTCTTGGGGGCACGGGCTGACGTGAAGGCCGCGGTCGACGTCCCCGAGGCGCCCGGGGAGGACTGCTTGGATTCCAACCAAAACGTCCAAGCTGAATGATCCTGTATAGATTGTGTAGAGTACGCACTTTATTACGCCTGGCTGCAAATTGGATCTCATCTGGCATTTGATCCATGCACTCGGTAATGGCTTGCTTTAGTTTATCTCGTACAGTAGAGCTCTGGAACTTGACTGGTCTGGGCTGGACAGCAATGTAGATTTTTCGGAGTAATCCGATAACAGCCCTCTTGCTTTCTTCCTCATGCACCCCAAGCTTCGCCCAGGCTTCGGGCAGGGTTTTGCTGTCATGTTTGGCAATCATTCCCCTTCCTAACCATTTACGAGGGGGCATCTTGGGCAAGTTGGAATAATGAATAGGCTAAGCGTATGAATGTAAGGCTATAAGTCGGCTAGTTTGGTGTTGAGTGGAGAAGATACTGTAAGATTGGGTGTATGTGTTGTTTGTAGTGTGATTTACAATAAGCTTGAGGAAAGCCGTTGACTTTTAACTCGAGGTCGTCTTTGTCCACTCGACATTAAATTTAGGCCGTTGCGTTCGGACTTCCAGATTTACGAGGGACTCTTGAAAGAGAAACATCAAAGATGGGGTGAAAGGTTTCTATTTCTCGAGGCAGAGCGTACCAAGAATCCCACTTCGAAGAAAGAAAACCAGATTCTGGCAGGGCTGGACACGACACCTAGCTCCAACTTTTGCGGGTTCTAGTGACTCTCTTTGTTATACTCAATCTTTGGAAGAGGATGGATGTGACTGGAAGACATTTCTCAATTCATTACTAATTGAGCATGTAGCTGATTACATGTTACGCTTAATTGTAAGATTCCGATGGAAGAGAATGTTATTTTCCGTCTCAAGTCTATGTTTAGATTAAGTTCGAAAATCAGTCAATAAGGAAGACTTTATCCACAGTCCCAGTACCCTGCATGTGGCTGAGAAAAATTCCAAAATTGAAACAAAGACAGGCCCTACTCCTTCTTCGCCGTCTTTGGAACATCTTTCCCTTCTGCAGCCGAAAGAGCAATAAACGCTTTCTTACTAACCGACAAACTATTGTAGAGTAGAACTGATACCAATTAGCGAAGATCATGAAGATAGAATGCTCAACACTTACCAAGAGGAATAACAATCCAGAATGCATTGCAAAAGACAAAGTACCCCCAAAAGATCGAAGCCTCGGGTCGGGAGTATGAAAGGTCAAGAATGTAGTGGTCGAACATGCAGGTTGCATAATAAAGAACATCTCCATAAAGCTGACCAAGGGATACAATCGCCTGCAAAGGATACCGCAGGGGGTGCTGGATCATGATCATCACGGCCAACATGAATGACAAAGGACCCCAGCAGATGGCAGTGATGGTCTCCATGCACAGAACGAATGCATCTTGAGTTTGGTAACGGGAATCAGATAACGAGTATTCTTTCCACAGTTGCCCAAATAGATCTTGCATGCTAGGCATACGGCGGAAATTGTAGGCAAAGTACCCCTCGAAGAAAAGGTGGATACAGCCACCTGTGTTCATTGTTAGCTAGAGTCTCACTTTGGAGGTACAAGGGCCCATACATAGTACAAACCACATGATTGTCCATAGGTCACTTGATGGTATCTTTGGCTGCACTTTAATCACCAATAGATATGTCACTAGGAAGATAGCTGTGCATCCTGTTGCGAAGATTGACACTAGGGTCAATGTGTCCCATTCATTGGCCAGATACCCCGCGATCTCTAGATCAATGGGGTAGTAAGGGTGCACAGTTGCATCGAATATTGACGCCATTGCTGAGGGATTTATCTTGGACCGAAGGACTGATCTTAGAACAGAGACTAGAGTGTAGTCTGCAAGTCTAGGAAATATCTGTATGTATTGCTCACGTGATAAATAGGGGCTTCTATAAGGGGTGATCCATATCTTGGCAATAAAATGATTAATTAGGCAAATAGTCAACTGGTACAAGCTGAACCAACTATGGAGTATGACGAGTTCCATCACACGTAATAATTCCTGATCCAACAGGGCTGACCTAAGACCCTAAGCTGAGAAAGTAGGGGTGAGATTCAAGTATACAACCCAACCGGCCTTCCACCTCAAATTCACATTCCAGCTAGAATATAAAGAATGTACACATGTCACAGATCAGACTCTAATCTAACGCAAAGCAAATCCCAACAAAACCAAATTTCAATTTCCGGTCTCTGTGATATTTCAATACCGTCGGAGCGCGGAACTCTTGGCCCCCGGACACGGACTCTGATTAGCCCGGCCCCCAACTTACCCCGAAAGAGAAAAGTCCGATCTGCAAAATGGTCATCAACAAAGCCGTTCCATGATTTAGATCCTGAAAAGGGGCCCTCAGAGCCATACAAAGAACCGACATCCTCGCGCTCCCCGAAACGAAACAACTTCAGTTTGTTTCGCTCCCACGGTTCCGACTTCCCTATACGAATACGTCGGCGGATAAGATAGGAGGATGGCGTCGTACTCAGCCACCGAGGGCGCGACGCGCCGGCGCGCGAAAGCAGAGAACAAGAGCCAAGTCCAGAATCAGGCTAATGGACATACCCGACACCATTCCGGCGATGTTAAGCGCCGCGAGTCGCGGTCATGGATAAGACGATTCAAGTATCGCGCTGTCAAGCACACGTGGTTGGTACCTCTTATCCTTATCTTGGCTTTCCTCTCGCTATACGCCCTGAACCCAACACCGAATAATGTTATTCACCGATTTATCTTCCTGTCCTACGAGCAGCCTCCACTGGAGGAGGGTGGACCAATTCAATATGGAAAGGGATTATGGGATATCGCCTTCGTCTTTTTCTACACAATCGTGCTATCATTCACTCGCGAGTTCATCATGCAGGAACTTCTAGCTCCATTGGCGAAGCTTTGCGGGATTCGATCTGCGAGAAAACAGGCGCGATTCATGGAGCAGATGTATTCGGCTATCTATTTTGGGTCTACGGGTGTTGCGGGACTATACGTTATGTCTAAGACGCCGGTTTGGTATTTCCGGACTGCGGGGATGTATGAGGGTTTCCCGCATCGCACGCATGAGGCTGCGTTTAAGTTTTATTACCTCTTTGAGGCGGCTTATTGGGCTCAGCAGGCTATTGTAATGTTGCTGGGACTTGAAGAGAGGAGGAAGGATTTTAAAGAGCTTGTTGCTCATCATATTGTTACTTTGGCGCTGATTGGTTTGAGTTATCGGTTCCATTTTACTTATATTGGGGTTGCTATTTATACGACTCACGATATTAGTGACTTCTTCCTTGCGGTATGTTGTGTGTTCTTCTCTTGTTGACTTGGTTGTTTGTGCTAATGGATGTTGCAGGTCTCCAAATCCTTCCACTACACCGGATCTGATCTGATCATCCCTTTTTACACTCTCAATGTCTTTGCATGGATCTATCTGAGACACTACTTAAACTTGCGCGTTCTTTACTCCTTGCTCACGGAGTTCCGGACTATCGGTCCCTACGAACTCAACTGGGAGACTCAGCAGTATAAATGCTGGATCTCGAACATCATCACCTTTGCCTTGTTGGCAATGCTTCAGAGTCTCAATCTGTTCTGGTTGTACTGTCTAGGACGTAGCTCGTGGAAGTTTCTTTCCACGGGTGAGAAGAAAGATGATCGTTCGGATGACTCGGAGCCGGAAGAGGATGCTCAGGTCCAACAAAATGGATCTGCCAAGCACTGATCTGGTGTCGTGGTTACAGAATCTGTTTGACGTCGAACAAATCTGGTGAATACGCCCTTGGATGAGATGGATGGCATGCCGAGTCGCCCTGGCATAAGACATGTTTGGAGTTTGCATATAAAATGGCCTGCACATGCGGTCTAGACCGGGATGGATGGCTCATGTATAAATGGTTTCATGGTCTAATGCATGTATGTATCATAGGAACTTTTAATCTTAATGAATAATGGAAAATGGACGATGATAGAACGATGGATGTAGCACTACAAATGGATTTGACTTCACCGTAGTTACCTTAAGTATACGAGTATATGATTGAATATTTTCGAAATTTTTGTTCATTTCAAGTGAGTTCATTATTTACACACTAAGAACAACCGAGTATGAAAGAACCAAACGCCAGGTTTGCAATGTACAGAAGCCACGCCAGCCTCTCAAAAGTGTATACAAAATTGGGGGAAAATCTTGAAGAAAAAATAGGTTGAAATCGATGTTGAAAAAGGGTCGGATAAGGTTGATAGGCATCATGTGAAAAGAAGAGGAAAGAAAATACAAGAATTGCCAACGAGGGAAAGTGGACGGGTGTTCATTACCGTCTTGGAGGGTAGCCGTACGCTGGGGAGGCAGGTGATCGCCTTCCAGAGTTATCGGAGCTCACGGGGATCAAAGGGAGGGTAGGTTCTAAAACGTCATGGACGGGCGATCGTGGAGGCCCCCCCAACTTTTCGTTTGTTTGGGTTGGTGACCGGTCATCGATGTTATAGCGAGATCCTTGGTGACCCAGAGACATGTTGAGTTCATGGTTGGACTCGGCGTGTCCCGTTTCGTCGATATTCCAGCGAGATCCAAATCTGCTGGAACTGTCGTCACCTCGGGCGGTCTTCTCCAACGGGAGAAGCTCAGTCGTCATCCGGTTTTCTATGCCCGACATGCGGAAGGAGTCGCGGTTGTCGGAGAGGCGCTTGTACTTGCCCTCCGGCTCCTTGAGAGTGAAGGCGTAGTAAAATCCAATGAGCAACCAGATCAAGAGCGCCAGTGTGAAAATGGCGTTGAAGACAAACCACAGAACTCCGAGAATGCTAGTCATCATTTCAGGTTGGCTAAAAACGTTGGAGAAAATGAGCATGAATATCGCGTTCAAGAAATTGAGCACGGTCGCGGTAATAGCGAATCCGTTGGCGGCCCGGTCCATGTACGGCTTGATGACAATGGTCACGACCATCATAGCGGCTTCCAGAACCACCAACACAATGGACTGGGCCACCCAGGCAGACTGAGCGAAGGCCGTGATCATACCGCGAACGACAGTGGCCGTCAAGACCGGGATGATGAAGTAGTATGCTTGAGCACGGTAGTTGATATATAAGAAACCCCACTTGGTCAGAGTAACGGGGTCAGAATAAAGGGTATAAGCCGGGTGTTCATTCAAAGCCTTAGAAGCTTTCGCTCGCTGGAAGACTCGGAATCCAGCATAGAGCAGGACAATGCTCATAACCAGCCACATGGTGATTGCCAGAACAATTTCTGCGGCCGAATCTCGTTGGATCAGCTCCCACATGCAGATGACACACATTTGCGGGTATCCAAGCGACACGACACGGTAAAGACTGCCTCGCATGAACGTCTGCCACTCTGATGTGGCATTGGCTGCCATTGCGAGCTTGTTGTTGTTGATTTTCCGGGCCAGAGCGGGCAAAACGAGTCGCAAGAACAAGATCGCTAGAATGATAAGAACCGCGACGAAGTAGAAGAAAAGATATCCCGTCATGAAAATGTTGGATGATTCAATGTCCGCCCGGAAACCAACTCGCTCGATTCCCCTCACAGTTTGTTCCGTTCCTCCGGTAGTGGTGGTAGTTGAGCGCTTCGCGAGGTAAACAGATTCATTGTCGGTCAAGGTCAGTAGATCGGCGGGAGTTCCGCCCGTCGCACGTTGGAACCATGTCGCGATGCTCTGCAGAGCGCTGGTGTGAAGAATACCCATGGTCCATTGGAAGGTTTGGGTCCACGCTTGGACAATTGGAGGGAAATTGACTGCGGCGTTGCCAGCAATGGCCTGCGTCTGCATGAAACCCAGGAACAGCATGGTTCGGAAATTGAGGTGGGTGGCGATCACGGTGTGTCCCAGGATCGAAATCACCACTGTGGTGATGAGGCCCAGCCCCGTGAGGATGGCGACAATCCATGCGACCGCCGGTTGTTCCACGGTCGTACCATTTAGAACGCGCGTTTCGATACAACTGATCGGTTCGTGGGTTACGTAGGTCTTTAATTGAAGGCGCACGATGGCATCAAGATCCGGGACGGTGTAGGCGATACCTGTGGGAGATTAAATACATTAGGGAACTGTTGGGTTCCTCTCGTCGCATACTTAGGACACTCACCTGGAATATCGCTCAGGGCTGATGAATCAACCGTCAACGAGGCAGTAGGGATAGTCAATTGTTCCGATGAGATAGGACACATGCCCAAGCCGTTACTTGAGAGGGTACATGGGTCGATAGTTGTGTTGATCGCAGTGTATCCATACACCAAGAGGGTCAGGTCGATCTTGAATTTGCCGGTATAGTCGATTTTTCCATTGAAGGCAATACTCGCAGACGAGTTTCCTGGTGTGAAGACGACGCTGAAATGGTCGACGGAGATTTTTCCATCGTCGGAACATGGAGTCAAAGACGACGCCTGGAACAGCTTCTCAGCAGATGCGGCGGAGAACCAGAGAGCCCCGGCGAGCCCGGCCGCCCAGGGGAACTTCATAGTTTGAGAGAGTGTTGAAGATTTCTCCCAGAGAAATCAGAATAAAGGAGTGGAAGGGTTTGTCTATTTTACTGTTCAATTCACAGGCCCCATGTTCGGGGATCTGGGCCAGGGGGGTTGGAGTATCAAAGCCTGGAAACAGTCCAGAGTACCAGAGTCAAGGCAACGGTATTAATTTTAGGTACAGTAAGCACATTTCGGTACCAAAGGGCCTTAAGGTAAAATAAAAGAAAGTGCGGTATGACACTGCCACTTTGGTTTCAGATGTGGAGTTCGTTTGTCTACTTTGTTCGGCTGAATCAGCCAATCTGGTACAAAAATAGCGTGATTCTGGGTCTTTCAGATGACATAACCACGATACATCGGGTTTCTTATAAGTAACTTGATCACCTCATGATCGTCTTACTGTACTCTTGCTCTGGAATGATCTTCTTTTGCTGATCCCAGGAAACGAGACAAAAAATTACCCACTCCACTCGATTACCGCCCCTATGAGATCACTCAGGAGAAAGAAGTTGTCCTATCCCCTTACCTACGTTGACCGGGCTTAAAGGTCCAGCGCCACCGTGCATTAACTTTGGTACAAGGAAGAACAAAAAGGGGGAAATGCCCACTTTTACCGCCCCAGGTTGAAAGTTCACCATTTAATTTCATAATTTTATGGCGAATCACTTTCATTGGCAGATCCACTTTTCCTTAGCTTGGAAAAGTCTCACTAGTCACAAATCACAAGCGACTAAAAACTGGAGCCAAAACGCGTCTTTGAGGCGGGAAGACCCTGTGAAAAGTGGTCCTCGATGATGCGTCCCATATGGGTCTGTGTTCGTAGTTCCAAGGCCAGATCCTCGAAATTGACGTAGACGGAAATTTGGCGAAACTCTCCGTCGGTATTGGGTTACCGTAAATGACCGTCGCTACACATTTTCTCGGTGGCGGTTAACTGGGACTAGATGATTCGCTCTTATTGTTGAAGACCCTGGAAGTTTATCGTTACATGTTCGTCTATTTTTGGTCTGGACGGCGTTAGAGAGCTTAAGTGGTATAAAGCATACGAATACGATTGTACAGGAGTGCGTAAGTGCGGACAAATTCTGGTGCGCGTTACGCCCGGTGGGTCTGTGGCTGGGAAAAAGTCCATATACCAGAACGTCCTTTACTTCCATTAGTCTGAGTATGATCTTAAGTGTCTGATTACGTTTATTTGCTTCTCTATTAATTAGGAGATTGGATCCTACAATTTACTCCGTACTACCTACATTAACTACTCCGTGCCCTACTACCTTATACGTGGAACTCCGTTGAACAGCCCCATTACTGTATTCGGCAATTGTTTCAGCATATCACTGAAACACATTGTGATCGACTCTTTCCTTCGTAGATCTTAGTCCCTGCTCCATAATTGCCAGTGCGAAGGCTGGGCTATGCATGTAACCAGCTTTGCCGACACGTAATCGGTGGATCGACCCTTAGTCTTGCTACTGTATCTTGTTCTGTAAATAGTAAAGTTGGCATCAAAGAATGTGGGGTCCTCCGCATGCCTAAGCTATGCTCACATGGTGCGGGGGAGCTGTGACAGTAAAGCAATCTGATAGGATTAAAATGGAGCTCCGACATTCCTCATGAGTTAAATCGCTTTTATCTCCGGTCGCGCCAATTACAAATGAAAGGATCGATCCTCAAACACGGTTAAAACGACATATCTATGATATGGACAGGTCTTATGTCGGCGCTTCGCCACTATCTTTTATGTGCAACTGGTCTACCGCGCATACTGTATGCAGATCCAGAACGTACGTGTATATTACATCGTTGCATCATCATGCATGGGGTTCTCATGAAAACCGGACACCTTGGCTGGGATCCCAAGTTCCCGGTTGCGCACGTGTGGCTGGAGCAGGAACGCCAGTGCCGGTGCTAGGGGCCATGCCGGGTGGCGCCCCGGCAGAATCGAACCGGATTCCCATATTGGGAGACCACACCCCCGGTGTAGGAACCGAAGGAGGAGGGACTGCCGCACGCACAGGTTGAGGCGCTGTGAGTGGTGCTACGGGCTCCGAGGGTCGGGCGTGGACCGGGGGAGGTGGTTGGGATGGGGGCTGGGAGGGCGGAGGAGCCGCATATGTAGCGTGATGGGTACGGGTCGGCTGGTGGGTAGGTTGACGTAAATGAGGCTGGGTGATGTGTAGCGACGACATGGCGGTGACGTTGGAGATATCGCTAATGATCATCGCGTCAGTTTGCAT